TTTTTTTCTTTTTTGGTATGTACTAGGGATTAAACCCAGGGCCTTGTGCAAGCACTCTACCAACTGAGCTATATCCCTAGCCCAAGACTCCATTTTTAATTCAGTGCTCATAAGAGCATATCTAGCCTGAGAGACGCTCAAGACTTTTATATGTTTGGTAATATGCTCATTAATTAAAAAAATATATCTGTAAAAAGACCTATCATCTTTCTACCTATGATTAGAAAAATATTCATGTTTATTGTAGAAAAGTAAGAGAGTACAGATTTTTCTGAGGGGAAATATTTTTCTTACAGTCTTATCACCTATAAATTGCTATTTTTTTGAAATTTAGGGTGTAGTGTATTTTCTAAATGTTAACGCATATATCTACCACCTTATACATACAGCGTGGCGCCATGCTTTATATACTGCTGTGTGTTCTGTTTTTTGAAGACATATTGTAGGTAAACTTGCAATTGAGTGACTTTTCTTCTGAAAATCATTTTCATCAGTGTACTAGTATTACCTAGTCAGATTTGCCCTGCTTGTTTAACTGATTGAGATTATATGTATAAAGTACTTAATGCATTGTCTTCATGTACCATGATGATGCCACAATTACCGTTCAGATATTACTTATATCATTTATCAATAAGCGACTTCATTGATTTTCAGATAAATGATACTTATCACTTCAAAACCAAGATTTTTTTTAACTGCTTACAAAAATTTGGGTACATATAGTATTCTTCCTTGTCTTAAAATGTATTGTTACATGTAAAAAATATTGCATATTTATATATAATCACGAATAGCTGGAGGTACTGTGTGTAGCTTACCTGAGTCAAAGAGCAGTCTAATGGTCCAGATTCCCCCTAGTAAGTCTGTTCATGGCAGTGTGAAATCATTAAAGTTGATGGATGCTTTAGCTCCACCAGTAACTTATCAGGTGGTCTAATAGAGTGTGACCATTAATTAAAGTTAGTAATTTAGGAAGACTGGGCTAGGGGGCAGCAAAGAACCACAACAATGTCTTCCTTCTAAACTAACTATGATCTTCCTCTCCCTTAATCCAGCTCTGCCTGGGATGAGGCTATTCCACTTGTCTATTTCCTGATACTTTGAGGAACTTTAACAGGGAGAGGCAGACTGGAATAAGATAAGAAAGGGATAAGAGAGTAGTAATTCCAGAAACAATCATTAGTAAGCATTAAGGCTTTGCCTTTTTCTCTCTGGTTTAACCCCATAACTATTGACTGGTGCACTGACATATGGTGTGAGAACACCCTTCTAACTGCTAATATATGGGTGTGAGGCCACTGTCTTCAAACTAAACAGACAGAGGCAAATCCCCATCCTTGAATTAGTGCTAGGAGAGCAGATCTGGGACAGGGGGCTCTTACCTGTCCCTCAGTGTTTGCTGCATGGTATTTGAAACCTGAGGTGCAACCCTCTCTTTCTCTGTTTACCAGCTAAATGTGGCACTTTACTTCACTTCGATGTTCACTTTAGCATATGCGTTCATAAGATGGGCACAGGTGTGCTTGTGCACAGAGCTGCCAAGACACTACGCAATTTTAGGTACATGAAGAGCTTAGTGAGGGGTTTAATACATAGTGAGGACTCTTGTGATACCATACATGGTACTTTTACCCATTTTCTCATTTCATTTGTTCCATTGCTTATTATATCAAGAACATATTTTGGTTTATGTCTCATTTAAAGCCTAGAAAAATTGAGTTGAAAGGACCATTCCTAAAAGGCAAGGCCTGGAAATACTAGGATTTCATTATCAAAAAATAAATTTTGTATTTAACGATAAAAAGGACCTATTTTGTGTTGTATTTAAAAACTTTTTTGAAGATGGTATATTCATTTTTTCTTTTCTTTTTTTTGAAATGTATAACCTTTGAGTCTTTATTCCATTGAGTACTATAAATCACTCATTAATAAACACACACATACACATACACATGCATACATTTGTCTTTCAGAGAAAGTTTGGAATGGTCACGCAAATTTACTAAGAGAATAGGAAAAAAGGTTGTAGTACGGTATTTTAGAAAATATATTTAACCAGTGTAAATAGGCCAGAGTGACATTTAATGTGAGAAATCACAATTTTTATTGCATGATGTGTACATATTCTTTGCACAATTATGCTGATTCCCATCCAGGAAAATCTTTGGTGAAGTAAAATGCTCATCTGCATTAACAACGTCCTTGAGGACATGCTGTGGGCACTGTAGAAGTTTACCTGCATCCCATTCTCTACCCACTAAATGCCAGTAGAAGCTCCCAACAACTAGTTATAACAATCAAAGACACTCTCCACTGTAGTCCAATGTGCACAGACCCACAGTGCGGCTTTATCTATTATTAATGGAATCAAATGTTTTGAAAATATTATCAATACTAAATTTAACATTTCTATTTGAAAATTAACATCCAAATTATGTAAATTGGTAGTTACCCCATCATTACAAGTGTTTTTGGAAAGTTGTGACATATTAAAGATAATTATAAAGATTTACTTTATTCTTAGTGTTCATTGTGATATCCCTGCTTGATAAGGCATTCCTGATTGTTTTCGGTTTCTTCCCAATTTCTTTAAATGATGTGAGAGTGAATGGTGATAACGCATGTTTCTGTCTTGTGTGAATTTTCTGATAAAAGAGAACAGGTCACTTTTCTTAGGAAATCCATGAACTGAATTAGCTACTGTGGGCTACAAACAGAATGCACACAATGGCTCAGCACAGCAGGATTTATTTCTCACACTCTTAAAGTACAAATGGAGGGGATTTGGATAGAGGTGGGAAGATCTCTGCTCTTTCCAATAAGTTCCTTTTGTCTTACATCATAGTTCCCTTCTCCTGCCTTTGGCTCCCAAGGCTACCCTGAGGGGTCATCTTCACTTCAGATCTAGAGGGCAAGAGACCTCAGGAAGAGCTGCATGGAAGTTTTTGTGTGGCCCTCTTAGATTTTCTTAAAATAGCTTTTGAAAAATTTAAGTAGCATCCTGTTTGGAGGAGAAAAGGCAAAAATATGAGAAGTAAATACAACTGAGCTTTCTTTTGATTTAAACTGTATTTTATACTTGATAATATCAAGGAAGTTTTCAGAAGCCTATGTAGCAGATGATTTAGCCGACTTATTTTCTACAGGAAATAGAACATTTCCCTTGTATAAATTTAATCCTTCTTTTTAATAGGCAATATAATATTCCTACCAGGAAAACATTTTCTCACAAGATCATTTTATTTGTGGAATTCTACCATTTCCCCTAAAAGTGGATCTTATGTTTTTTTTTTTTGTACATTTTTTTGTTAACAAAAACATAATGATCTTCTGGAAGATAGTCAGCCTTACATAGCAATATCAGAAGGACAGAAAACCTACTCGGAAAGGGTTGAGGGGCCCTTGTAAATTACATTAATTTGAAAGCAAGAGTAATTCATCATGCCTGAAAACTCCCAAGTTACTTCAGTACAAATGAACTTTTATTCATAATATGTAGGCCATTTTTGTTTCATGCTCACCAGAAAATGTATTTATGATCTTTTTTTTCTTGTTATCTTTCATTTTCAGTATTATGCAAATTCACCGTGTATCATTGACAGACACTATTAACTGTGTGCGATTCAAAGGAAATGGATATAGTGTTGTACACCTAAGAGTCTTTAGAGATAAAGGGCATATTAATTCTCTGACCTCCATTCCACATACATGCAGGTCACTTCATACTGTATAAATTGATTTATAATAATACTTCAAAGTTTCCCTAGAACAGACAGTTTGTATTTTTATCACTAAATGCCTGCCTAGGTTATATGTGAGGTTGCAGATGCAACCTTTGCTATCATTGCCTAAATGGAATCTATGGCTTTCTCAAGTTTTCTAGGCATAGAGTGTTGCTTATACTACTTCCACCAGCTGTATCTAATGTCAGACTTTGTCCAACCTGCCCTTGAAGAGCTGTGAACATTTATTTCATAATTAATTAATCTTTTGGAAAAATGTTGTTTCTTTGACATCAAGTACTATCCATCCAAATTTATTGCATTGTATTCTTTGGTTTTGCCATCTACTGCATCTATTTTGTACTCATTTTTATTGTTGTGATGTTACATCTTATCTGGTGTTCATTGCTTTGCATTGTTGCTATCTGATTTCTGGCTTCCTTCTGTGGAGCGTCTCATTTATTAGTAACAATTTGAACATCCTTCACTGGTTTGGCATGACAGCTGACTCACGTTTTCCATCCCTTCATATTTTTTTTTCTGTGTGGATTTATCAGAAATATTCCCTTTTTTGAAAAATTCAGGTTTTCCTTTTGATGTATAATTCTTTTAGAATTTCACTGCATAAATACTAAAGTTAATCAGATTCTTTAATTATTTTGATGTAGTGTTTGACAGCTCTGTTCTTTATAACTTGTTCTTTGTTAGTGTTCTTTGATGAAGTTCCCAACAGGTAGAAACGTATTAACATTGTGTTTCTGTTATATTAATATTCACCAAGAAATTTCATAAGGTACTCCTTTCTTTCTTTGTAACAGTAAATTAATGAGAGAAGCTTCCATTGTATTAAGTACCTAACTAGGTCATGGCACCGCGCAGAGCAGTTTATCAACAGTGTCTCTTTTAATCCTCACTGATAACCTGCAATGTAAGTTTTAACAGCAGTATCTTTCTGTAAACAGTTTCAGTGAAGCTTTGTATCAGAGAAGTTCAAGAGTCTGATTGAGGTTTGTCTGCCCCCAGACTCTGACCCCTTTTCAGGATATGCTATGTAATGATTGTGTTCAATTTAGAAATTAAGTATTGTGTACCTGCCATATGCTTTTGTGTTGGTAGGGACCAAGTTTATCTCCCAGGGCTTCTAGCCAATGTCTTTCATGTGGTGGACCCTCCACATGTATTTATTGAAAGAGTGAATAAAGGTGTAGATGAGTGCTATTTTAACCAATCGTGGCATTTAAAATTCGTCTTACCTTATTTTCTGGTTGATATTAGGACTGTGAAAATCCCAGATTCAGCTGATGGGCTTGGATTCCAGATCCGAGGATTTGGCCCTTCTGTGGTACATGCAGTAGGAAGAGGTAAGAAATTCATCTTGCTTGGTAAAGAGCTTTCCAGCATGTGTTAGATATTCCATTCAGAACGGGAATATGTTTAAAATATGCATAGTCATGTTGCTGGGAATTTTCTCACTAATCTTATTTTCACTGTATTAACTCAATGGTAGTACATTCTAGAAACAAAAATTTTTAAAAGAAATCTCTTCAGAAATTCTGATCTATTTATCCTGGATAAATGCTTATGTATAATTCAGCTTAAACCAAAGAGTATTGATGATTTTAAGGTTATATATTTGTATTTTTCTTGACTGCAAGTAATTGGTTTTTTTAATTCATTTTTCGTAATTCAGAGATATGAGTTTTGAGGCTTCCAGGTGATCTGTGGGCTCTATAACCTGTTTCTATTTAATTCCTTTAGGTGTTCTTATGAACCTTGGATACATTTCACCATAAAATGCATTTTAAATTAAATAATTATGGTGATTAAAAACTTGGTATATTATTCGAATTTTTGAAAGACAAGTCATCTATTGACATGTTGTTATGTATTTTTTTTTGTTTTACTGACACTAAGAATGGAATGGAATAACAGTTTCCACATTGCTAAACATAATAAATAACCAATTGCTGTAGCTGGAAGTATTTCTGTAAGCATGAGAAGCCATGTATTTATCTAACAAGGGGGAAATAAATACCTTTTAGTGCTGAGAAACAGGAAGCATCCTAATATAATCACTCAAACATTAGAGAGGCCATTTTAAAAGGGCCTTGCTATCAGAATAAAATTTAGTTAGACATTTATTAGATTATAAGATTAATTATTATACATATTATGATAAAAATCTGTCATACTTGAAAAACTTGTCTGTTCTCTTTTTAACACTGTTAAAAACTGTTTCAATAACTCATTCAATTTTATCAAATGGAAATGGGATATTAGATATTAAATCTCTTCATTTTCACAAACCCCCCACCCCCTCCCTCCCCAAAAAAGAGTTGTTCACATTACCAGTACTGGCAAGTCACTGAAATCCTGAGTGAATTGAGGTCTACCATCATCTAAAGAGCAAGGTTCTGTCTTTGGAGATTAGTGATGAGGTTGGTCAAAGTCTGATTCTTACGCTTTTCTGCTTCTGATAGAGTCAAAAGACAAATGCTTCTGTGCTTGCCCTCTCCGGTGTGCATTAAATGAAAAGATGTTTTTCTGGTTTCTTTTCACACTGATGTTATGTGGTCAAAGCAGAGAGGCCTCCCCAGCCTTGTTCTCACAGTGATTCACGGCAGTCAGCCCACTCTCTGCAGTGTGACCAGAGGTCCTCTTGCCTACCTACATCCGGGCCACTGGATTTCAGACTCGGATGAACCTTTCTGTCCCTTCTCCTGAACAGCTTTGTGGTTGTGGTTCCTGATGGCCTGTCTTGTCTTCACTGGGCCCCTGTTACTACTCAGCAGTTTTTTAAATGTGTTCTTCATCAGCTAGGTCCTTCTTCTTTTTCTTAAAATTATCTCCCAAGACTGACTTCTCTTTTCTTACCTCACTAATTCTGGCTCTTAGACACAAGGCCTTCAGGGTCTTCTGTGTCTTAAGGTTCAGAGGCTGAGGGCTTCTCCCTGGGGCTCTGCTCTGCTTCCCCTTTCTCTCTCTTTCACACCCTCCTGCCCAGTTCTGCGCTCACACCCCCACATGTCCAGGTGATTTGTCACTCCATTCCCTCCTTCCTACTATTTTCTCTGCTGGGAATGTCCTTCCTTCCCCCAAGACTCAATTCAATGCAGAATAACTGAATAACCCCTAGATATTTTGGGGAGTGTTTTGGTCAGATTTTTCGTTGCTGTGACTAAAGGACCCGACCAGAACAACTGTGAAGAAGGAAAAGTTTGTTTAGGGGCTTAGGATTTCGGGGGTCTTAGTCCATAGAAGGCCAGCTCCCTTCCTTGGGGCTCAAGGTCAGGCAGAACATCATGGCAGAAGAGTGTGGCAGAGGGAAGCAGCTCACATGGTGATCAGGAAGAGAGAGAGAGAGAGAGAGAGAGACTTCATTCTCCAGATACAAAATATATACCCCCGTGCCATGTCCCAATTCCCACTTCCTCCAGTCACACCCTACCACTTAGTTTTTACAACCATTTGTGAGAATTACATATATTCTATTTTTCAGTGGTACCTTCTCAATGTTGATTTTGCTCAGAGTATCCAATATCGATCACTGGAAGGTTCAGAGAGACCTTAACTCGCTGGCTAGAATATGCCATGTCTGTATTTAAATCTGTACCTATGCAAACAAAGTGATTGAAAAATTGATAGTATCTGCTCTGTTCTCCACAGATTCTCTGGTTCCTGAACACTTATGTTTTCTTAAAACATCCAGGCTGTTCACAGTAGCTAATTGACTTGATTTTTGCCTTTAAAATTTATTTTTAGGGGTTGAAAATGTGACTCAGTGGTAGAGTGCTTGCCTAGCATATGTGAGGTTTTGGGTTCAATCCCCTGAGCCACCAATATATATATATATATATATATATATATATATAATTTTTTTTCTTTCTTTTTTATGTTCATATTAAATTATTGACATTCTTTTAAAATAGTGAGTTCTCTTTCAATGTTTAGGGACTCTGTAAAGAAAGATAAGCATATGTTTCTGGCTTTTGTAGTTTTTATTACATAGATGTATATTAGGAAATTAGATTGACTAGACATTTAAAAAGGAAAATAACTGATTAGCATTTTAAAGGTCACTTTGAAATATTCCCTCAAACTAATTCTTAGGGAGGTGGGAAAATGTTTTTTAATCACAGTTTGAATGGTGAGTTAAAAAGCAGAAAAACGTTGAGACAGAATTGCTATCAGAACCGAATTTATTAGGAGTATATTAGCTAGGCCCTTATTATATTTTAAAAATTGCTTTCATTGTTCTATATATGATAAAGATGAATCTTATTCTTCAGATACATTTTTGGCAATTTTCCGCATTTGTATTTAAAGGAACTGTAGCTGCAGCAGCTGGTCTTCACCCTGGACAGTGTATTATCAAAGTAAATGGAATCAATGTCAGCAAAGAGACCCACGCCAGTGTCATTGCGCATGTTACAGCCTGCAGGAAATACAGGCGACCAATGAAGGTAAACTGCTCTTCAGTTTATCTGGATCTGAAAACAAACTTGTAAAGGAGACCAAGGGGACAGCCTAGGATAGTACTGGAGATGTTTGTAGTTTCCACTTCTAAGTGAATTTAAACGCAGCATTGGAAATCCCATAGTGACTATTTTATCTGCATAATTAATCAAAGTTGACTGTGTTTAAATGGTTGTATCTTATTGTTATAGTCTTATTAGTTGCTTAAAAAGTGATGTTGGGTATTTTCATTTTCCTTTTTCCTTTTTGTGGTGCTGGGGATTGAACCCAGGGCTGTGTGCATGCAAGGCAAGCACTCTACCAACTAAGCCATATCCCCAGCCCTCATTTTTGTTTGATAAGAGTTTATCTAATTGAAATCCAAAGAATTGAGCTGTTGTCTTAGAATCACTTTAGAATATAATAATGATCATTGTGTATGTACATGTGAATTATAAATATATTGTTTATCCTAAGACTTCTGTGAAAAAGTTGAAATTGTGGGTTTTATAGAGTGTGGTTGATTTTTTTGGATATTTTTATTTAGGAAACTGGGTTAGCTTTTAAAAGAGAATGCCAAAATGTGCTTGCCTCTACTTAAAACTTAATCATTATTTTTTTTGATCCATAAGGGCCACAACGAGATGAAATTGGAATCCTAATTCATAAGCAAAGTTCATTATCTCATGAAGAAAAAGTGAAGATTGGACTATAGGAGAAAATTTCTCTCAATTTAATCAACTAGATGCAGAAGGAAATTTAGATAGGGCTTATATTTTTAATAGTCATGCGTGGTGGAATGCTCTTTTCTGGATTTGAGAATATGAAAGTGTTCTCATATTGGCGATTGTTTTCATAGGCCAGGACTGATGTTCTGCAAAATTTTGAACTTACATGGAAAGAACCGATCAATTTTGCTTACTAATAAGGTCAAAACTAGCATGGAAATTGGAATTTACACATGAACTCATAGGTTACTCTGATTGATAGTAGTTCAATAAATATTTGTTAAGAAGCTGTATGATTGAATGCATTTTCTGAAAGACTCTTTAAGAAATTATCAAATCTTTCCTCTTTATCAGTACCTTCTTGGAGGAGTGTTAATCAGTGAAATAATTTTTAAAAGGAAAAAATGGACAGAAAAATTCACTGAGTAACGCACTCTCTCAGGTATCCGTTGCTATAAAATAGACCACCCCAAAACTTAGTGGCTTAAAACAACAGTGATTGATGATTTCTCTTGATTTGACTGGTTAGTGGTTCCTATGTCATTGTGTTCAACTGGGACCTTACTGGGTGCCTGGGTTCCCTTCCTCATGGTCTCTTGCCCTATGTGGCAGGTTGTCCTCCAGAGCGCCTATGTACGGTTTCCCTTTCAAGTCTCCAGCAGGATTTCCTTTTCTGTGTGGTGTGTAGATTTCCAGAAGGAATATTACCCCCTAGTTGGATGGTGCTTGCTTTTGGACACATGGAGTCACAAGGCCAAGCCAAGGTTCAGAGTGAGAAGGAACTACAGAAGGTGTGGGTATTGGAGGTGTGGCTCATTGGTGGCCACAACAAGTGACCAAGTTAGCTAGCATGCTTTTGTTTGTTTTTGGTTCTGGGGATTAAACTCAGGGCTTTTTGCTTGCTAAACACATACTCTACTTACAAAGCTACACTATATCCCCAGCTCTTAACTATCATTTTAATGATTTATAGCAGTATAATAAACATAATTGTGATGCAAGAGAAAAAATAGATTACATCACACTTCAGTAATTCAGTTAAGATTTGATTTATCATCTTATCTAAGAAAAGTATAAACCTTGAAGTAATATTACCCTTGAAGCATTTATTTGGTAGCCATTTCATCTCTCTCATTTCTCTAAGTAAGATTGGAGCTACTGTTTCTATAAAAATACAAGATGATTTTTGACATGGAATGATTAAAGATAGTTAGAAACTCAATGAGATAAAAGATATTCTCCCAATTTTCATGTTGGTTTGATTCAAAGAAGCATTAAATGTATTAAAATAAGGTGACTATTGGGGGCATTTAAAATGGTTTGTACAGAGATAGAAAATTGATTCATTTCCAAACTGTCCATCTAACATTTGCTTATTTTTAAGATGTAATTTATAACTCATTTTAAGATATACTTGAGGCGTTTAAGTAAGACATTTGAGAAATACATCCTATTTAAAAAATATCTTTGGAACAAAGCTTTGGAAGATAAATTTACATAAAACATATCTTTGGATGATAATTTAAGCTTGAAAAAAAGTCAGTTTGTTAAATCGTCATTGACTTTTCGTTCTGATGTTGATTGTCTTTCTCTTTCAAATTCTATTATTTCTAAACAAACTAGAGTAGTAAATAAGAAGGGCAACTCTTCTTCTAAAGCAAGTTTATGAAGTGGATATGCATTTTAGGATGTAGTATTCATTACCTCTGAAGTTTCTTTTCCCCCCTCATTTCCAGCAAGATTCCATACAGTGGGTTTATAATAGCATCGAGAGTGCTCAGGAAGACCTCCAAAAATCTAACTCCAAACCTCCTGGAGATGAACCAGGGGATGCTTTTGACTGCAAAGTTGAAGGTAGGTTTCTTCTTTTTCTCCCTTTGATTTAATAGTTTTCTTTTCTACTCTGTCTGTATCTACTTGCTAATGTTGAAGGTCTTGTATCTTCCAAACATGACTTTGAATCTTAAGTCATTATCACCAAATAGATGTCATGTCACATAAGCAAGCAGTAATAGCTTGTGCCTAATGTGTCATAGTCATATCTTGGTTGTTAGGCATCATCTAAATGTTTTACATAGCTTATCTCACTTAATCATTAAAAGAGAACATTTTTTAAAAAAAAGTAGGTATGATCATAACCTTCTAGAAATTGAGGTCTTTGTAGGTTAAGGGTTTTACCCATTCTGGTTAAGTGATAAAGTGAGGATTCAATCCTGAGTTATGTCACGTTTCCTTATTTGGAATTGAATGTTGTTTATTTATTTTTGTTCTTTTTAGTTATACATGACAGTGGAGTATAACAATATATTCATACAAACATGGAGTACATCTCATTCTAATTAGGATCCCAGTCTTGTGGTTGTACACAATGTCAAGATTCCCTGTGGCGTATTCATATATGTATATAGGAAAGTTGTATCAGAATCATTCCACTATCTTTCCTATTTGCCACTGATATGATTCTATATTTAGAAGACCCAAAAAACTCCACCAGAAAACTTCTAGAACTCATAAGCAAATTCAGCAAAGTAGCAGGATATAAAATTAACACCCATAAATCAATTTCATTCCCATGCACCGATATGAATCAGCTAAAAGAACAATTAGGAAAATGATCCCATTCACAATATCCTCAAAAAAAAACAAAAACAAAAAAACAACCAAAACAACAACAACAAAAAAACCCACAAAGAACAAAAACAAAATCAAACCTGGAAATCAATCTAACAAAAGAGGTGAAAGACCTCTGATGAAAATTATAGAACTCTAAAGAAAGAAATTGAAGAAGATGGAAAGATCTCGCATATTCTTGAATAGGCAGAATTAATATTATCAAATGGCCATGCTACCAAAAGTGCAATACAGATTTAATGCGATTTCTATTGAAATCCCAATGTCATTCTTCATAGAAATAGAAAAAGCAACCATGAAAGTCATTTTGAAAAATAAGAGACCCAGAATAGCCAAAGCTATTGTGAGAAAAGTGAAACTGGAAGTATCACAATATCAGACCTTAAATTATGCTACAGAGCTATCATAACAAGACCAGCATGGTATTGGTACCAAAACAGGCATGGAGACTAATGTAACAGAATAGTTGACACAGAGACAAATCCACATGAATACAGTTACCTAGACAAAGGTGCCATAAAACATACACTGGAGAAAAGATAGTCTCTTTAACAAATGGTTCTGGGAAAACTAGAAATCAATAGGTAGCAGATTGAATGTTGTTTAGATTTTGCTATTCCAGTTATCATAAAAAAATGAAGAACCTCAGCCAGGCACGTGGGTCACACCTGTGATCCCAGTGGCTCAGAAGGCTGAGACAGTTCAAAGCCAGCCTCAGCAACTTAGAGAGGCCCTAAACAACTCAGTGCCACCCTCTCTAAATAAAAACTAAGAAAAGAGGGGAGTGGGGTGGGCAGGTCTGGGAATGTAGCTCAGTGGTTAAGCGTCCCTGGGTTCAATCTGTGGTATCAATAAAAAAAAAAAAAAAGCAGAACCTTAGCCCATCCTCATTTTGAAAAAATTTACATGTTTATTGAAATGTAGAAGCCTTGGTCTGGAAGGTCCATAGTCCCTTTCAAAATATTTTCTTGATTTGAGTAACTTTTACTGTATTCTAACATTGACAGTAAGGAAAGAGGCAAACTAATATGGGAAAAGAGAAAGAAGAGAGAGAGAGAGGTCTTTGGATAAATTCTCCTGCTATTTCTGTTTTCTCAATTGAACAATCCAGCAAATTGCTTTATCCAGAGGCGTTGCCAAAAGCAGCTGAAGCAATTGCATGTATGTCTGCCTCTGACAGATACCTTGAATTTTTATTTTAGAACTTTTTCACAGAAAAACAATCCTCCTTTATAATTATTTTCCTGTTGTCCACTCATCTTATTGGTGGATGTCTCTGGACATTTTTATTTTTATTATACCATTAGATTCTTTCAAACCAGTACAGCTAGAGAGTTCTGTATTCTGGGCAGTTTTTACTGGCAACACTTCTAACACCATATGTGTGGGGTTTTTTTCCCCCCACACCAAGCAAGTCTCCTACTCTCCAGATACCAATGGGGTGTGCTGTAATTCAGTTCCAACACCTATTTCTGGGAGTTAGTATGGACGTCACAAGTGAAGGGCTCAGTCCCTCAAGACTGCCCTCTCCTCAGATGCCCTTGTAGGTTCCAGGTTTTCACCTGTATTTCTGACCAATTGGCTTTAAGGTCAGGGGTTCTCACACCCTCTTCTTAGATCCAGTATTTGCTAGAATGATTCATGGAACTCAGAAGCACACTTCACTGACTATCACTAATTTATTATAAAGGATACAACATGAACAGGTTCACAAGGTGAGTTCTGGTAAAGTCCCAAGCACAGGAGCTGTGTCCCCAGTGTTTTGGGATGTGTACCCCTCTGGATGTATGCATATGTTTATCTACTTGGGGGGCTCTCCAACTTGCATTGTTTTTTAGTGGGTTCCATTATGTAATGGGTTTGGCTCAATCATTGGCTATTGGTAACTGAACTTAATCTCAACCCACCCCCTACACTCAGAGGTCTGCAGGTGGAGTTGAAAGTTCCAGACCCCTAATTGCATGGTTGATTCCTTTGACCGTCAGCCCCCATTTTTGAAGTTATCTAAGGGCTCACTAAGAATCACCTCATGAACACATTACTAGTATGTGGTTGAAAGGAGCTTGTCATAAATAACAAAAGGCACCTCTGTTGTCTCAATAGCTCAGTAAATTGTAAGTATTTTAGAAGCTCCTCATCAGAAATAGGACCACAGACCAAATATATGTTTCTTATCATATGACATCTGTGTATACCAATCGTGGAAGGGGTTCCTAGGAAAGTTTAGTTGGATCCTGTTCCAACTCATGGGCAAAACCAGAAATACCTCAACTTCATTGGAGTAACATAATATTATTATGATAAGACCTGATGTTAGTTATTCAAAATAGGATGAGCCTCAGGACCTCAACCTGAGGCTTTTATTTCTCATTTGGACTTAATCTTTGGTGTCACAATGTAAGGTAGGTCGGTTAATTGGTAGTTAGGAATTGGTGTCTAACTATTTTGGACCTTAATTAGTTTAAGGTAAACCAATATACCCCTTTAGCCTATTTAATACATACAATTTACTATCCTATTCTAGGATTTTGTTGTTTTAAATAAACAATTTTATTTTTGTTTACTTAATATTTATTATTGGATCTCCTGGTTTCTTACATGGCACTTTAAGTGTTTTTCCACCAGTTGACTGATCGCAGGCTGAAAATCTATAGGAAGACATCCTATATAGGAATTTTTAGTATAGTGAGCAATGATGAATTTTCTCAATGAACTCTCCCTGAAAGAGGCTGTTTGGGAAACTTCAGGTATCCTATCCTCTCTGTTCAAAAACAATTCTTACATCTCCTTTGTCTTCTATAATATGCCCTTCTTTATGTGTGTGTGTGTGTGTTTTTTTTTTTTTTTTTGCTGCTTTGAGAAAATATTCATTCAATGTTTAAGGCATTTTTAGAAACCCTAAATTTAAGCTGTGTATGCTCTTTTCATGAAAAAATAACACAAAATCACATCTGTAGTATTTACATTGGTATAACTAAATATAAACATGGCCCACAGATCTAAGTGGTATAAAGATGAGATTGGTCATATTAAAGTGGTGAGATTTGAATCACTCAAGCATTTGCTTTGTATAAAGTACGTTTATTTTTCAAATTGTTAACAAGAATAGATGCTTCATTCATCGGATTTAGCCGACCTTTGAAGAACTCTTGAAAAATTATTTGAGGCTCAAAATATTTGAGGAGATGAATAAACCTTTCATGATGTTGCCAAATTAAGATTGTCTGCATTGCAGAGGCACTCGACAAGTTCAACACCATGGCCATCATCGACGGGAAGAAGGAGCACGTGAGTCTGACAGTGGACAACGTCCACCTGGAGTACGGGGTTGTGTACGAGTATGACAGCACAGCTGGGATCAAGTGCAATGTGGTGGAGAAGATGATTGAGCCCAAGGGGTTCTTCAGCCTGACTGCCAAGGTAGGAGTGGACCTGTCACCACCAGGGGTTCCCTTCTAACTAAAACGACCTGATGAAATGCAATGACTGTACATGCTGTAGCTGCTAGATCCTTCAACATCTTTTTCTTTTTTCTCTAGTATTGAGTATGTGTATGGTCTTACTTTTATTGATCCTTTTGTATGACGGTTTTAACTTGGATAGAACTCTTGCCCAGCTGATTGGGCAAAGACTTTCGTACATTTAATAGGTTTGCAGCCTCTGTTAATTCAGTATTGTGGATATGTTTAAGATAGTTTTCTTCACAGGTTTTTTTTTTTTTAATACACATTATCCTCTGACCCTAGTCATTGAAGTTCTGAAATATAAGAAATTTCAAATTCTGCAAGTGTCAAAAATTTCAAGAAGCTTAGAGATCAGGTTATGAATAGATCCACAGAAATTTGTACAAGTCTTATTTGGAAAGGACATCACCATATGGTCCTTAGACGAAAACAAGATGAGGGAGGAAGCGAATTTATATCCAAATGGACGAAACATGTGACTCTGAGCTTTCTTTTCATGGTGCTTCTAAAAGTTGAGTCCCTCAGACTCCTTCTGTGACCTCCAGTGTTTGTTTCTGCTTGGCTATCATTCTGAGAGAATTCAGATACTTCAAGAAAAATGAGATATATTTCTCTTACTTTTATCTTTTCATTTTATTTCTTGTTTTAAATATGTGTAGTTGAGACAGTCACCAGTTATAATATATATTTTTAAAATTTTAGTGGGAGAAAGTAACATGGAGATCTAAGTGATCCATTTTAAAAATAAATATTTTACCTTTTTATTTTATGTTCTTGAAGCCAACTTAAAAAAAAAAGTACAACTACTCATCATCATGAGGCTGTTGTGCCATTGTATGTATCTATTGATATATATTTCCCAAACATAGTTCCTTTGCAACTATGTTATACAGTCAATGGAAACCATGCAAGAGTTTGAAACCACATTATTATAGTTATTTAATCTTATTTTTCATGTACTTCAAGTTTGCAGAATTGCGTGGACTATTCTACATATGATAATTATGTTAGTACTGCAAAAATCATTTCCATTTTACACATGAAGAAAGTCAAAGGAATTAAGGCATTTAGCCTGGAGCATGCTGCCAATGACAAGGCCAACTCTGATTTCTAGACTAATGGTGAAATGAAAAACTCATACTAACAGGGAAGTGGATGGAGGTAGTAAGAGGCTGAAAGAAATAAAACATCAACACATTTTTATGTCTTACACAGTATTATAAAAATATTGGTTAAGGGTAAGGTCAATCCCTATGATCTCTAACAGTCATAAAACACCATGTAATTCTCAATCCATTGGAAATTCTAGTGACCTAAGGTAAACAACACACACACACACAGCCTTACAATTGATTCAAATATTCAAAAAAGTTTGCTAACTGAAAACATTACATGGATGCTTTTACATGCTTTTATCATCTAGAGCTTAGACACAGCATAACCATTAATTTATATTTTACCCGGATAACTGTTCATTTATTCATCCCTTCTGCAAGCATTTGTTAACTGCACTGTCTGTGCTGGACTCTCTGTAAGAGGACGCTATTGCTTTTCCTGGCTTTTTTTTTTTTTTTTTTTGTTCTCCCACCCAATTGAGCGGAAAAAATGTTCTGGGTTACTCTGACTAAAAATATAGGAAATATGTTCCCACATCAGATGTCTGATCTGTCCAGCAGGGAGTCTTTGAAGTCCACTTACCTCCCCAAGCAGCCTTTTTATACTTAGCAGAAGGTGTAACCTGAGATACCTAACAGGCAAAGCAAATCACCTCTCTCACAGTGCCTCAAAGAACATGGAAATCCTGGGGAGCCGCAAAGAGAAGAGCAATACTGGAAAGTCACCCTGGAGCGTTAACTTATGAAAATTTTATGCGGCTACTTCTGATGTTTGTTTTTTTTCTTATTTTATTTTGTATTGTGTGTTTATTACTAGATTCTTGAAGCCCTGGCTAAAAATGATGATCATTTTGTGCAAAACTGTGCCAGCCTAAATTCTCTAAATGAAGTGATTCCTTCTGACCTTCAGAGTAAATTCAGTGCCATGTGCAGTGAAAAAATTGAGCACATTTGTCAGAGAATTTCCAGTTACAAAAAGGTAAAGATTCTATAACTCTTATATGTAATTAGTACTGAGATTATTATTGAAATGCCAAATTTAAATCGATCCTTGATATTCCTTTTATACATATATTATGTACTGTATTTATTGTAATAATGATAACATTTATACAACTGCCCTAGTCTATTGTTTTCTGTTACTATAGCAAAACACCTGAGGCTATAAAGAGTAGAAGTTTATTTATTCATGGTTCTGGAGCTTGGGAAGCCCAATATCAAGGTGCTGGCAATTAGTGGGAGCCTTCTCTCTGCATCATAATGTGTTGGAGGGCATCACGTGATGAGATACCCAGCACACTAGTTAGGGTCTGTCTTCCTCTTATAAAGCCACTAATGCCATCATGGAGTCTCCACTTCATGACTTCATTTAATCTTGATTACTTCCCCAAAGTGTACCTCCCAATGCAGTCCACACATGAATTTGGGAATTAAGTTTTCAGCACACGAATTTTGTGGGTCCATATTCAAACCATAGCAATAGTATATTGGAGTATTTTAAAAATGTCTTATATCCATTACCTCATTTGATCTTTGCCAGCCTATAAGCTATATTATTATCCCACATTTTTGAAAAGATAATATTAGCTGAGGCCTAACGAATTAAATAATTTACCTGTAAAAGATAGAGCTGGGTTTTTTTAAATGCAGATCCTTTAATTCTGATATCAAAATTTTAAATTACGCTATGGTCATTCTTTCCTTTTTCTCCCAACAAAGGAAACGGAAGGCCTCAATCAAAGTATGTGGCAAATGGGCTGCTTTAAATTGATTGATTGGTTTATTTACTTGTCATACATTCTTGGACACCTTCTGTGTGCCAGGCACTTCTTGTCATGAGGAATGTAACCTGGGATGGGATAGACAAGATCGCTCCTCTCATGGTGCTCACATTTGAGTGTGGAAATAGCGAAGAATTAAAAACCCTTGCAAAGGGGTTGAAACAGCTTGTGAGGAAATCAAAATAGGGAGGTATAGTAGGTAGTGTCAGGGTGGTACCTAGTCAGGGACACCCTCCTTGTGAAACCCTGGGTGTGCATGACAAGTAGAGCTCTCCATTTGCATTGAAGAAGGGAATATTTGGGTGTAAGGAACAGAGGGGACAGAGGCCCCAAAGCAGAAAGAAGGCGGGGGGTGGGGGTGGGGAGGTGGGGGTGGGGGGGAGTGGCCAGCTCTCCAGTAAGGTCAGAGGCTTTGGCAGGGGTCCGTTAGAAAGAGTTAGAAGTGTTGTGCCTTTTGGAACTTTGGAAGGAATTTGGGTTTCATTCTTATATTGATGAAGACCAATGGGAAGGCTTTAAGCAGGGGGATGATTTTATCTACTTGAGGATTTTAAGGAATCATGCTTTTGTAGGGGTGAATTGCAAGGGTGGGAATGGAGAAATTGAGAACAGTTGGAAGCAATTACAGTAGTTCAATTGAGCAATGATGACAGCAATGAGGGTGGAGGAGACAGAAAATTAGATGGATTTGGGAATATATTTTGGAAATAGAATTAATGGAAATTGACCTCCAAAGCATATCCCATAATAGTTTTTAATTTTTGTGTGTATTTATATCATAGAAGACTAATTAATTAAATTTCCCCCTCAAAATGATGTAATTGCTTAAAATTTGGTATGTCTACACTTGTGATTATTACTTATCTAGATATAAATGAATATTATTTAACTATACATGAATTTTATATTGTTGATATTGTAAGTGAAAATAAGTCCATGCGTCTATATGTGGATGAGAATGTGTGTGAATGAATACCCAAAGGACTGTCATTGTTGGCTGCATTGGGTAGAGTGAGACAAGGGGTAGAAGACCGTACTTCCTGTAATATTTGGGTTGTTAAGCATGCATTACTGTCATAATTTTCTAAAAGTCCAGTCGCATGAGAAAGTGATATCGAGATTGCGACCTGCCTGCGGCACCCATTAGCTCTCTTTCCATGACTGCTGAACTCTGGTTCATCTGAGTTGGCAAGGAGTCCCCAAATGGGCAGTATTGGAAGTTGTAGGGAAGAAGATTCTCCTTTTACTTCTCCTTTTCTCTGTAGTCTGTGACAGTACTTTGAAGTAAAACTCAAAAGCTCTCAGCAAATGCAAGTTTTATTCTCCTTTTGATCACATTTTGAAAAAGAGAATCATTCTGCTTCAGAGATGGTTCTGTAAAAGATGTGATGGGGGCTCAGGCAGATTCTGGGAGTCAAACTGGTCCCTTGTGTCTGTGTCGTTTTCTTTCTTTTTTTTTTTGATTTTCTTTTTCTCTCCATTCCTTCATATGACAAAGATGCTGGAAGTAGCTTACAGGAACATACATGAAAAGGGTGAGCTGTTAAACACATGCATGCACACACACTCAAAACTTTAGGAACCACTGTAGATTGGGTGGTGAATTGCTTCATCTGCTTCACAGAGGACCAAGATAACACAGGCTTAACCAAGATGGATTGATGATTGATTGATTTTTATTTTCCCCCCACATAAAAGTCCATCCTGACAGGAGTACAGTGGGGTGGGAACTTGTCAATCTTAGGAATGTTCTGCCATGTATGGTTTTGCTTTTCTAGGGATATTGCTATCTTCTGCGAGTTCAAAGCTGCTTTACCACCATGTCTAGGCTGTGAATCTTCAGAAGGGCAAAGAGGAAGTACACAGTTTGCTTTTGCTGCCTGACCCAGAAATTATCCACATCATTTCTGTTTAACCCTTATTAGTTATTTTTTTGAAAGAGAGACTGGGACATATTTCCTCAGGCAGACTTTCACTGGGCTCAACTAAAATCTGGGGAGTCTTATTACAGAAAGGAAGAAGAGGAGAATGGGTATTGGAGGAAAATTATTAATATCTACTCCACAGTAAAGCTGTATTAGAATAGATGGTACTGACCAACAGGGGAAAGGGTCCTTAGGTCCCAAGATTCTATTTACGTTCTAAAATTGAATACTGTATTTGGCTTTCTACTTCCTGGTGTTCAAAATGTAAAGGCAAACATCCTGATGTATTTTTGCAGCATCCCTGTGAAATAGACATTTTGCATAAGAAAAGCATAGCTTTTCTTGAGCTAAAAGAAATCTCTCACACAGATATTGTATGGTGCTGCCCATAAGCGTACCATCATGAAAGAAAGAAGGGCTTCAACAAAAACATCTGTTTTACATTGCAGATATTTTTAATGCTCTCTTTAATGAAAGCCAATGGCGTAGATGAAAAACCCAGTCTATTCAAAGCAAAACTGTTGTGGGATGGGGCAGGAGGAATAGGAAAATATTAACTAATGTGCACTTTTTTCGTTTTTTCTTTTTTTTGGTAGGAAGTGCTGGGGATTGAACCCAGGGCCTTGTGCATGTGAGGCAAGCACTCTACCAACTGAGCTACATCCCCAGCCCCTAATGTGTACTTATCACGTAAAGAGTAGGGCACACGCACAGTTGTTCCAGGATGCCTGCCCTCCCATACTTACAGTCTAATCTAAAGGAAAAGCCAAAGGGACATGAGGAATGCAAGTGCCCACCTAACCTGCTAGAAATACCCCTGAATGGCTGAACTTGCTAGCCCCATATAACCCAGTTTTCATGGTGCTTCCTAGAGTTATGAGCTCACAATAGTGTGTGTGCGTGCGTGTGTGTGCCTGTGCATGTGTGTGTGCATACACACATACATGTGCATGTGTCCTGTGCTTTCCCTCTCTCCCTTTCTTACACAGTTCTGGGGTGGAACCCAGGACTTTGAGCATGCCAGGCCAATGCTGTACTACTGAGCTCCCTCCTCAGATCGTTTTATTATTTTGAGACAGGGTCTTGCTAGGTTGCCCAGACTGGCATTGAAATTGCAATCCTCTTGCCTGAGCCTCCCAAGTAACTGGGTTTTTTGTCAGACTGCAACCAGCTACCTAGCATTGCATGAGGTGTTTTCTAGTTTGCTTACATTGTAGAATTTACCAAAACAGTGAAATGAGGTACACATTTCTCATTTCATGGAACGAAGTGCCCGAAATTCAGGGTGGTTAAGTAACTTGCCCAAGGCACTCAGTTGGCAACAGCAATGGGATTTGAAACTTGCTCCCTTTTATACTAACACTGGTTGTTATTCCTTTACCTGCATTTGACTTTGTGTTACACAGCTCAGTGCGGTTCAGACTGGAAAAGCAATAGGATTTCAGGAAAGAAAAAGTCATTGTGGACTGAATAGTCACCAAATGGTAGGTCCTGTAAGTTGGGATGATTTGTCAGAGTGAAGGGGAAGATGGCATAAAAAGTGACCTAAGTTCAGGCAGAGATACAGAAATGAGACTGCTCTTAAGGATAAAGAATCCGCATACTCCCTGGACTAGAAATGAAGATCTGAGTGTGGATGTAATTTAAAAAAAAAAAAAAAAACCCGACAACATTAGACTTTTCCAGTGATATTTTGGAATAGCATAAGAATCAGATTTGTTAGTAAGAAAATCACTTTGGCAATTGCATAAGGTGTTGGTGGGAGAAGAGCCACAGCAGGGAGGTTGGTAAGTGGTCTTTACCTGTGGAAGTGCGAGTTGATGGTGGTATGGACCCTGTATCAGTATTGGAGATGAAGAGGATCATTCCAAGATACGGGTAGGGGGCAAAAACTGGGCAGATCTGCTGAAGTGGTTATAGCAGATGAAGACGCTGTCATTTCTTGGTTTCTAACAAAAACATGGCTTATTAGAAACTGAGGTGTGCATGTGCAGGAGATGAAAAGAATATAGTTTAGGGTTTCACCCAAATGTTGGGGATTCTCAAAATCATCATCTTGGTGAGTGAGAAATACGTTCTACTTAATTGTTCATAACTAGCATCCTGCAAGCTTTTAAGTTAGAAATGGACAGGCGAATGATTTCATTTATGGACAATGATTTTACTTTATTTTTTGTGCCAAGGAACACTCTTCCACTGAGCTACACCCCTAGAACCACAGGAATTGATTTTAGATAACAAAAAATAATACCCTTGAGTTATAGAGAGCCCTTTTCTGCCCTTGATCGTTCTCTGAGTCTCAGAACATCTGTGTGTACTGACATACCATCATGCTTCTTCCTCAAGAAGGTGACATTTGCCTCCGGTCACATAGCTGGCAAGTAGCAGACCTATGGAATGCAGCCTCACTTATTTTTACGTTTCATTCATAAATAAAAAGAAAAGTCTGGTCAGAAACATCAGGGCCGAAATGCTTTAAAAGTTAATCTTATCATCATCGCACTTGGCCTTAAATGTTCTTAAAATAATTGGTCATCTTCTTTCTAGAGAAGCCAAGTTAGCAAGAAGGTATTAAAAGGATCTTTTCACTTTCAGTGAAATGAAGATGCCTAAGACAAAGACTCCTAATAGGTTATATGAGGTTAGCTTCAGTTACATAGCAAATGCATGTCAGCCAAAAACACGTGTGAATATAGACTTTAAAATTTTTTCTCATATTTATTCAAAAACTATATTAGCAACATATTTTTCTTGCAGATGAAAGTTTCAACACTCCTTTTTTGTGAAAGAAAATGTATCCATAGAAACTAAAATCTTAACGAGTCAGGCTTTATTTTATTTTGACTGTAGAAGTTTTAGATTTTAAAAATAGTAACCAGCTGATTTCTGTCATTTCTATAGCCAGGATATAATAATAGATTTCCTGTTCACAGATATCTTATGATAAGGTTGGCCCGTATTGAAGGCTGTACTGAATCTTGAGCAGGCATTCATTCTGTGTGGAACAGGGTGTGTGGACAGCTCAGATGTAAATCTATTCCCTGTTTTGAGAAACATTTGCCTTGTAAATTGTCTGGGAAACTCTTCTTAATTTTAGAGTCATTCTCCTACGTAATACCAATTCCATAAATGGACTTTTCCCCAGTATTGGGGATACTTTCTTGATATGCATTCAGAAGATAGTTTCTGTTTGTACAGAAATAGTGTAAGTAGGAATTAGAAGTCTTAACTTTGAACATTCCAGGTACTTATCTAATGCTAACTCAGACTCCTCAAACTGCTAGATGGATTTGGAAACTTGTATGTAAAATTCTTCCCCGTGTCCCCTTACAAGACAGTCTAATACAGAACTTTTGTATCTCCGTGCCTAAGGAATTTTACACTTCACTGAAATGGGAGACTAAATGGGAGACTATCTGCACAGTAATAGCTTACTTACTTTGTATTACTTCTGATTTTTAGCCAAGTGACTATCATGGAGTTTAAATATGTGGCCATGGTCAATAATTAATGAATTAGCTACCAATGCATTCAAAACTTGAAGTTCCCACTGTAAAAACTGTTTTTTCCCATCAATATACAAATGTGCTGTCATAATCACCTTTATTAGAAATAAATGCTTCCCTTGCCTCTTACACTCCTCTCTACCTCCTGTTCCAATTCTTTGATCTTCCTGAAAAGAGCTTTCCATAGCCCTGTCTGTACCTGTTGTCTCACCTGCTCATTCCCCTTAGCATGCTCCAGATGGATTCTGGAACCCACCACATGACTGAAATGGCTCTATTTTGCCACAGCCTGTTAATTTCCTGATTGAATTCCTTGTCTTAGTTGACCTGATGCAGTTGACTTCGAGCTTCTCATTAGCATTCTCTGTGACACCCTGGAGGCCTGACTTCTGTCCTTTCTTCTTGTTGGTGGCTCATTCAAAGTGTTCTGTGCTGATTTTCTTCCTGACCTCTTCATTGACCATGCCTCAGGAGATCTCAGCCCCCTTGACTTCTCCGTCTGACCTCCATGGATCTCACAGACTTTGTGTGTTTGACATCAGCTCCTTATCCCAGCCTTCTGCACACCCATCCTTCTGTTGATTTATCTTCTTCACCCCCTTTCTCTCAACTCTGTTTTGGCTCTATCTTCAGAATAGGCAGGCTTTCCTTACTGCCTCTATCACTGATGGCCCCTCGGTGAGCCACTGCCATCTCTCTCCTGTAGGTGGTCCTTCTTCTGCCCCCTGTGCTCAGCCAGTTTTTTTCTCAAGGGCTTTGCATTTCCATCCTGGTAAGAGCCACATTATTACGTGTCTTTCCTCTTGTCGAATGCAACTTTTCAGAAGTCAGGAATCTTTGTTTCATTCACTGATATTCCCCCACATGCCTAGGACAGTGCCTGGTACACAGAGACCCCTTATGATCTCTAATGGTCCCTCAGTATTCGGGGTTCTACACCCACAGATTGAACTACCCACAGATGAAAAATATTCAAAAAACATTAAAAATAATACAAAGAATAATGCTGTATAACTATGTACATGGAATTCACATTGTATTAGTTATTATTAGTCATCTAGAGACGATACAGGAGAAGGTGCAATAGGTTATACAAAGTACTATGACATTTTGTATAAGGAATTTGAGTATCCGTGGTTTTTGATGTCCCTGGGAAATCCTAGAACTAATTTCCTGCAGATACTGAGGAACACATGTAATTGTTGAATGAATAAAAGTGGTAGTAAGTTCAGGCTATGCTATTCCATAATGATTCTAATGTGAACATATATTTACGGGATGTTATTTTTTTATACTTATCCTTTAATTTAACCTAGAAGAGGTAGAGAATGATCCTTGTAGTCTTTGTTTTTATTCTTTTTAATGACAAAATTATTACTCTAGTAGTATGATAAGTAGATAGAATCATGGTTATAGTTTTTAAGCAAGAAGGGAACATAGAGATTATATAATTCATATCCCTTATTTTGCTACACATGATGAAAAGACCCTGATTTGTTTGATGTCTTATTAGCTACCGTGACAGCTGCTAGGAACACACAGGAAGCTCATGCCTTGTAGTCCTCTGCTTCTCAGACTACAGTTCAGTTCAACTCTGTGAGATACCTATCAATGGTGTGCAAGATGGATATAGTCATTACCGTCTTGGAGTTTACCATCTGCTGCCTGAGCTGGAGATGAGCAATTATTTACAATTATAAAGAGAGTGACAGTGTGCTACAACCTAGCATGTAGCCAGGAAAAGGGAACATAGCCTGGGACTCAGGGAAGCCCTCTTGATGATTTGCTAGAATCCGAAGATGCATAAGAAAAAGTTTGGCCATGAGAGAAGAAGAAAATTCTAGGTACATTGACCAACCTATAAATAAAGGCTCAGAGTGAGTAAGATTGTGTATGAAAGGAACCATGTGCAAAACCCTGAGGGAACTTAGAGGACAAGGGAGGAGAGCTTTGGATAGATAACAAGGTGTGTAAGAACTGGATTTCGGGAAGCTTTATAGACCATGGCAAGGAGTAGCTAGACTTGAATGGTAGACTGTTGTAAGGTTTGAAGCAGTGGAGTAGATACCCTTGGAAGTCATACATCATTTTAGTATCAGTTTATTGTCAATGGCATAGAAGCAGAGTGAACACTGATCTGCAAGTTGATTGTGACCCCCAAACACATCAGGGATTAGCAGGAGACATGGGCAGTACAGTTGTCTGGCCATTCTGGTCAACACCACAGTACTTTGCTGTCTGGCCTGGACTTCTGCTTTGAATTGGCTTTCTGATGATACTTGAAAAAATCCCATCTTCTTTCACCCTGGACCTGATAGCTACCCTGTTTTTTAAATCTTATTTCTTGCCTCTTGGTGCCCTAGGATGCCAGCTTCTCTATTACACTCTCTCACTTTCTGTCAGCCAGTGGAATAGAGTCCTAATAAGTTGTGTTGGTCACTGAGGTTCATTTCTTTTAGCACATAGCTTGCAGTCAGGAGTTTCAAAGGAATCCTGCATTTGCTGTCCATATTGCTTTGCCTCATTAAAAATGTTTGGATTTTGAAAGAGCAGTTTAATTTCCAACAACTTAGAATTTATGTCACTCGTTCCAGTTGACATGATTTAATTTTCTTTTGATTTTTTTTTTTTTGTTTTCGATGACACAGGTGAAATGTTTTGAGTTATTACTACTGTGTGTTCAGCTGCTTTTTATTTCTTCTGTAATTTACAGTTCTCTCGTGTGCTGAGGAATCGAGCTTGGCCCACCTTTAAACAAGCCAAATCTAAGATCTCCCCACTGCACAGCAGTGATTTCTGCCCTACCAACTGCCATGTCAATGTGATGGAAGTTTCTTATCCCAAAACATCAACCTCTCTGGGGAGTGCTTTTGGTGTTCAGCTGGATAGTAGGAAGCATAATTCTCAGGATAAAGAAAGTAAATCTTCTGAGCAAGGTATGTTGGCTTTTGAAATTTTATTACACATGAACATTTAGGCAATTATAAGCATTGCTGCATTTTATAATATGTTAGATTGCTGGTATGCAAGCAATCCTGCCCTTTAAAAAAAAAAAAAGAATTCTCATGTGGATAGTTATATCCATGCATAAGTGTACACAGAGTGAAATTGGAGTTATGCATTAGCCTGGTCTTCTCTTTGCATACCATGAAAAATTATTATTTTTCTTTCAAGAAAGACAGGATGATTTAAAATTAAAATTCCTCATGTCTATGATAAGCATAGCTCATCTTGAGTGTGAAAGCCACTAATCTGAAATGGCTTTATAACTTTGGGGAAAATCCCAGAGGAACTGGTTAGAAATGCATTAATGCCAATCTGCATCATTGTAGTGGGATGAGGGATTGGACTATTTGTAGCTTTTAATTACTGCTCCCCACAAGATTTAATTCCTCAATTAAATTCAATGTTGGATTGGGATTTTGTTTTATACCAGCCTGAACCTCTAAAATGTATTGGACTGGATAGTCATACATTTAAGGTAATAAATATTACTGTGGAATGATTTTGATTCCTCAGGGAAACTGAGCCCGATGGTGTACATTCAGCACACCATTACGACCATGGCAGCCCCTTCAGGACTATCTTTGGGACAGCAGGATGGCCATGGCCTTCGGTATTTGTTGAAAGAAGAAGACTTAGAAACTCAAGATATCTATCAGAAACTTCTGGGCAAAATCCAGACTGCACTGAGAGAAGTGGAGATGTGTGTTTGTCAAATAGATGAGTAAGTTTTTTATATTATAACGTTTGCCTAATAAACAATCAGAAGAAAGTGGGACTTTTGAAAAAGTTATCCATTCTTTAGATTTAGGTAATGTAGGAAATTTGTGCTGATCATACAGTTCGTCTTCATTTTCCAGTATTCCATGGATAGATAGATATTTTAAGTAGACATTTAATACCAGGGAAGAGAATGACAAAATTCTATCTTATAGAGGAAAACTAAGTCTCAGTGTGAAAATATGATGTGAATAATATGTTTGAAACTGTAACAGCTGTGTATGAGGATTTTCTTGTTATCTTTTGCAGTTCAAATTCCTGATATTTGATGTATGTACACTGGAGATATTTATGAAAGATGCAAAATATAATGAATATTTTAACTAGTTTAAACAGTTTTAGCATAGTTAAAATATTTATATTTAACTAATAATATTATTATTATTTATATAATATTTATTATTTAACATAGTTAAAATATTTAACATAGTTGTTAAATGAGAAAATATGGAAAATGTACCTCCAGGACCAATACTTCTTTTATTTTCTGTTTCACATTCTGGCCTATAAATAATAGCCCAAATTGCCTGGCCAGGAAGCAGTTAATGAGGAGTTTTCTATCTACGTCAATCCTAATTCTTACTTAAGAATTTGACAGTTGGTAGCTGGGCACTGTGGCTCATGCCTGTGATCCCAGAAGCTTGGGAGGCTAAGGCAGGAGGATTACATATTGGAGGCCAACCTCAGCAACAAGCAAGGCTCTAAACAACTTTGCAAGACCCTGTCTCAAAATAAAATTAAAAAAAAATAAAAGAGCTGGAGATATATAGCTTAGTGGTACCGATCCCCACTCCCCAATCTGGGTTTAATTCCTGGCAGCACACACACACAAAAATCTGCAAATTGTCTACACTCTTTGGGACTGTAGGATGACTTGTCATGTTTTTTTTCCTGTGATTATGCTTCATTAGTCAAGGCAGTTCAGTATGGTCAGAGTAGCATGGCTTTGGGCAGAGGTCAGTTCCTTATATATTGAAGTAGATAATAATGAATTTCAAGTTTCTGGTGACAGTTATAGAAAATAACATAGAAAGCAGTCAGCATAGTACCGACGAATATCATGCTTTCTCACTCATTCAATAGATGGAAATCTTTGAGTACCTCCCAAATTGGCATATTTTGAGAACAGTTATAAACGACATCATCTTGTTTGCATTTTGTCTTTATGAAGTTGTTGATTTAATTTGCCGGCAGATGTGTATATGTTTCCTTCACGCATTCATATCATCCCATACCTTTATGGATAATTCATTTTAGACAAAGTGTTTAGAACTTACTGCATGCTTTTGTAGTAATCAGGCATTATACTAGTGAAGTCTTAATTGACATGATCTCTTATTTTACATATCTTTGAAATTTGGAGATCAAAATAGATACATTATATTTTTAAATTGCCTTCAAATTACTATTCTTTTTCCTGAAGTTTTAGGGGTGATTTAAAATTAAAATCCTATTTTTCTATGTCTAATGAACTAGCTTTTTAAAATGATAACATTTCTATATTAAACTGTAACTTCCCTGCTTATAGATGAATTAAACCACCTGAAGTTGCTAAGAAAACTATTTTTAAGCAATTGCATTATATTTTTGGATTGCCTTGAAACCTGGTAACAGAAGTTTATGATTTAGGACGTCATACTTTGCTTAATCTAATAAATGTGATTTTATTACGTATTGTGTTCTACTTTAGATACCAGTTCTTTTCCCTTTGAGGTATTTAGAAAATATGTAAAAGAAGCATTTTTATCAATGAGGCAATAAATAATGGTATTGAATCATTGATGCCAACTCTCTAAGGAATTTTATGGGAATATCTGGCTCAATCTCATACTTCTGAATGACCCGTTTGTTGGTGGCAGGATTATTGATGTGCCTCAGCTGAAACTGCTTGAGAAACTAAGCCTCTAATGCTCTGACTGGCCGGCAGTGCCTGGCAATCATCAGACTGTCTTTGTTAATTGATTAACTTTTTTTTTTTTAAAGAAGTAGGTACTGTCAATACATTTTCAAGAAAAATGTTGGAGCCAAAGAGGTTCCTTTACTTGATTTGAAATGTTTATATTTAAAGCATTAGCTGTTGAAAGGCATTAGGTATTTTTATTAGCTAGAACTACTTAAAATGATTAATTATTCCTCTCGTTTCCCCCATTCTAAAAGCCTTTACCCAGCTCTGTATGTTTATCAGAAAAGTGACATGACATGAGCCAGTGATCGGTGCAGCTAGCCTGGTCTTCTCTTTGCATACCATGTAATTTAATTCTAAATATAAACATGTTCCATACAATTCAATCTGCAATATAATCACTTTAAAACAGTACAGTGTCCAAGTGCCTGGATTCCCTGTTGCCCTTAGTATTCAGAGATGCTACATTGCATTCGAGCTTAACAATTTATTTAAAAGCTAGTTAACAAGCAATTTTCTTGCCATATAGTAATTATTCTTGGTCAGGGTGGAAAAGCAGATCTCAGATGCTTTGCCAAGTTTTAAAATAAATTGCCTCTTAATAAGTTGCTTATTCCTCTGAAGGGCTGGTGTTGAGCTTGTCTTATCATGAAATCTAGACACCCTGCCACTTGAAAACACTTCTAGAAGTAAAATTTTCTTTAATACATAGGCATTTTGCTAAATCCTCCTACTTAACTTCAGATCCTAAGATAGAGTTAGAGATGAATTTGCTATCTAGTAACACAAGATAAGGTGATGTGATGAATTTAATCAAAGCTGTATGATTGCTCTTTAACTTTGGGACACTAAGTACTTTTGTCCTTGAATGGGCTCTTTCCAGTTAAAGACACTTAGATTTGAAATATGTAAAACCAAAAAATAATTTATGAATAGCCCCCATTCTATTTTAAATTAGAGGATTTGTGTGTTCTTTCAGGGAGGAAACAAAGAGAACATTGGGGAATAGAAAAGTTAGGAAATTTGGGAACAGATTTCATTTTGCAGATGCCCCAAGATTAAGACATGAGTTGATTGCATTATAGGACAGTTAGTGACCTGGGGGTGGGGGATGGTCACAGATGGAAAGGCTAGTGGAATTACCTTTGGCATTTCCTCAAGCCTTTTGTTGAAAAAATGTACAAATAGAAGCATAGATTGATAAAAAGCAGCATCTATGATAGGTGCTCTGTGCCAGGCAGGGTTATGCTGTTCTATACCCTAATTTCATTCTCACAGTTCCTCTCTGCTTTGTATTATGAAACCCTGGGATGTATCACAGACACTTGAAGCTTAACTTTGTTTCCAAAACTGAATTACGATTTCCTTATCCTTAAACCTATTTTGACCCTTCTCTACCCTGGGCTTCCCCTTCTCAGTAGATGATTCCCTATCTCTTCAGTTCCTCAAGCCAGAACCTAAGAGTCATCTTTGGTTCTTCTTTTGCCTTCCCCCAGCTCTGATTCTGCACCAGGTGCTGTCAGTTATACCTCTGAATGCATTCACGTCTGTCCCTTTAGATTGAGTTAGCATCCTCTCTCACTAACACCACCGGAGCAGTTTCCACTCTGTGATTTGCTCTGATACATTCTATATTCAGCAGATGCCCGGGGGACCTGGAAAGGTAAATTGTGTAGTCCCCTGCCTAAAACCATGAAACCACATTATGCTACAGTGAAGCTAGGGCTGTTCCTTGGTATTCACAGGAGATAGCTTTGAGGATCCCCTGCAGGTACCGAAATCCCAGGATGTTCAAATCCCTTATATCAAATTGTTTATTATTGGTATATAACCTGTGTCAAACCTCCTGTATACTTTAAACCATCTCTAGATTATTTATAATACCTAGACATTATAAATATTATGTAAATAATTGATACATTGTATCATGTAGGGGATAATGGCAAGAAAAAATTGTGCATGTTCAGTACAGATAGTTTTTTTTTCCTGAATATTTTTGATGTGTGGTTGGTTAATCTATGGATGCAGAATCTATGTGATATGAATGTGTTATTGGGGCCTGCAGTTTCCTACATGATCTGCCCCTGTCTTCTGCCTCTCCAAACTCAACTCACTGAGCTGCAGCTTCAGTAGACACTTTCTGTTACCAGAACTCTGACCCACTTCAAGGTGCTCTGCCTGGTGGGCACTGCCTCCCAGGTCTGCATGTCTGAATTCCTGAGTGCTCAAGAGTCAGACTGATGGCAGACCCATTTAGAGGTTTGCCTGTCCTCCAATTAAAGTAGATACTCCTCTGTCCCTGTTACTTAGACCTCTCTTCTCTGTACATCTCTGTGTTACACTGGCTTTTCACCCCCTTTATCATTCACAACAGAGGTTTCTTTCTCACTCACTCTGAGTCCACCTTGGCCCACAAGGTCTCTGTTCCACATTGTGCTTCCGCAGAGTCAAAGACAAGTGCCCCATCAGATGGAATGTTTCTATCAATGGCAGGAGAAGGAAATGAGACAAACTGTGTACTGGTGTGTGTAGAGGCTTCTACAAGTGATCCCATTCACAACCACTCACATTATTTTGGCTAAAGCAAGTCTCATGGCCAAGCCCATCCTCAGAGGGCTAAGGGAGCACCTCCCAATCATGTGATCATACTAATGACCCTTCTACTCCCTCTAGAGCACCTAAGGCATATGCAGGGAGAGAAGGTTGTGCTTTATTTGCAAAGCATGTGCAACAGTGGATCTGTCCCACCCCACCTCTGAAATGAAATGACAATAATGTTACCTGCTTCATAAGGTAGTTTTAGGATTAAATCAATTAATACCTGTTAAAAATCATAGCGATGGACATAAAGAGCATAACACATGTTATTTGTGGTGAGGATGAGGATTATATTTTAAAAGCACGAGTAGATGAAATCCACTGTGCACAGAAATCTTTATCAGTGACATTAGGAGGTGACTGATATGGAATGAAATGCTGCCCAGAATTTTAATTAATGGACCTTTAGTAAATAGCTTAATATCATATATGAGCAAAAGCAAAGCAAAATATTTTTGCATGCACAAATGAGTACTATAGTCTGATACCTTATTGTTGCTTTTCAGAATCTGGAAATTTTATGTGAGAATATGGTGTTGAGAACAGGTTTTCCTATCATTTATTTTTAAGCTTAAACACTTGTTCCCATAGGGTCAATGCAAGCGTGATTGCAACTGTTTGAAATGAAAAATAAATACATGAAAATAATTCTCATTACTTTCAGAAAATATTTTATGCTTAGCTCCATGACTTCTAATTTAAAATATACATAAGCACAGAGGGCTGTCTGCAAAATGAGAACTCCTGCATATCTTTCCTCTTTGATATTCAGAGTTCATCTGTCTGTATAGTGTGGTGCTTGGGTAATTGGAGTTACTCTAATGTTTTAATCTTTGGGGTAGAAGGAGTGAATAAATATACAATCTGTCTTACAAGACATTAAAAGTATATTTCCAAATAGAGAAACTGTTTAAAATAATTCGTAACTTTCAGTTATTGAAAATGCTCACAGAGCCTTGAGCTATGTAACAGGGCTCCTTCAACCACCACTGATGTCTAAAACCTATAAAATGCTAAAATAGTATTCAAAGATCATTTCACAGTGACACTGTCCTCAGCTATACTATTTGAAATTGTAGCTCGGTGTTTTCTTTGTTCTTTTCCTTAACATTTGTCACTCTTTGTTATGCTCTAAAGTTTACTTGTTCACTGTTGATCTTCTTCCAGGGAATTTTACACTCTGAAGAAGGCAGGGACTTTTGTGGTTTGTACACAGCTGTATCCACACCACTACAAATAACACCTGGTGCAACAAGTGTGCTTAATTAGTGAGACCTCTGAACAAGGATTTCACTCCACACACAGCTTTGGGTTTGATGTTAGGGAATATGTGTAAGAGGTAGAAAGCTACCAAATAATAAAATGAACATTTTCATTGCTATGAAAAAATAAATGTCAAGACACGTGCTATTGGTTGGAACTCAATGTCATAAGCATGTAGTATGAGCTTGTTCTGGCTTGAAAGCCAGCCATGGGATCTTGCTTTAGATGTGGTGTAGTTAATTGAGTGAGTTTTATAGCATTCTGTTGGATAATAAAACCCAATTACACCTTTGCTCGATTTTGAGTTAGTTCTAATGGAAGCATTCCACGGCCAAGCATCCGGGCCTTAGAGTGGTGAATCCAGCAGGTCGCAGTCTTCCCCAGGCTTCACACCACTCCATTTCCATATGGTGCTCCAGCCTTGAGCCAAGAGGAAGAGGTCCTCATTTGGGCCGATTTGTGATATTTCATTCTGGCCACATTGCAGATGAGACTAGAGTAGTCCCTGTTTCCTCCTGTAGTCACATTGATGTGACTCTGTTTGGTGACTTATAATCACTAAAGTCAGACTCCTGCTTGTCCGAGTAGCCAGCGAGAAGCCATTGACAACAGGATATTGTCCCTTTCAAATAGAACAGACCTGGGAGAAACTCCTGGTGGGAATTGGCAGGTAGGTGGGTTTTTACTATTTGAGGGTGAGCTAGTGAGGATAATAAAGCACATTTAGTGTTTGGGTTTAATATTTAGTAAGCACTTTAAATTTTACCAGGTATTTTCACGTGGTGGTGATAGCAGTAATGGTGAGACGAGAGGAGATGGCTACTGTGCACCAGGAATATGTGGCTCTCATTTCCTTCCATAGCACCATGTGGGCTAGTTATTCTAATCACCCTGCTTGTGAAAGTGTCCGTAGCTTGTTCTGATAACAAAGCTGATCAGTGGCAGAAACAGGATCCAAACATAGTTTTCTGGCCTAAACTGTGTGTGGTTTCTTTATGAATTCTAAGCAGAAAGTGTGAGCTCTCTACTACATGCTTTTTTTTTTTTTTTTGGTACTGGGATTGAACTCCGATGCATTCAACCACTGAGCCACATCCCCAGCCCTATTTTATATTTTATTTAGAGACAGGGTCTCGCTGCGTTGCTTAGCGCCTCTCCCTTTGCTGAGGCTGGTTTTGAACTCGTGATCCTCCTGCCTCAGCCTCCCAAATCACTGGGATTTCAGGTGTGGGTCACTACGACTGCTCTACTACATGCTTTTTATGCAAGAGGATATGTATTTGATGTGCAATATGGGAGTACTCTAGAAATATTTGTAAGCCCATCATATTAAACAAATAAGGTAGTTATCTGTAGCAGCCAATTTCAAAATGTGCATTTATCATTTTTTTTCCAAATATCCCTTTTCAGCCTTCTATCTTCAATCACATATTCTCCAAAATTGGAACGTAAGACCTCAGAGGGCATAATACCAACAGACAGCGACAATGAGAAGGGAGAAAGAAACAGCAAACGAGTCTGTTTTAACGTAGCAGGAGATGAGCAGGAAGATTCAGGTCATGACACCATCAGCAACAGAGACTCATACAGGTAATTCATTCATTGTCCACCTCATTTCACCTGTGATGACCAGCCCCAGTCAAAGCATAGTGGGACAGCATAATCTTTCAAATACTTGCCTTATGTAACCTGAGTAACTTGGAAAGAACATTTTTTCTCTAGCTGTGTGGACCTAATTTGGGAGACTTGTTCTAAAAATGGATTGTGTAACATGGAGAGAAGATAAGAAAATTGTGCCTACATTTACTGTTTTTGTTGTTGTTGTTATTTGTTTTTTGGATATCTGTTTGAGATCATTGGTTTGTTGGGAACTAAATGGCAGTTCTTTTTTGCCCTGTTTCCCCCGTTCTTCTTAAATTCTGTGTTCCAAAATAACTGGAAAAATTCCACTTGCCCAACTCCATAGCCCAGCTTTGTTTGTTTCTTCTCTTGGATGCTTTTTTAAAATTCTGATTTGTTATATAGGACAGCAGAATGTACTACAATTCATATTATACATATAGAGCACAATTTTCATATCTCTGGATGTACACTTGGATACTTTTTGTATTAGTTTGCTAGGGCTGCCCTAACAAAGTACCCACACTGGGTGGTATAAACAAGAGAAATTTATTAACAGGGAGTTCTGGAAGCAGGATGTCTGAAACTAAGGCATTAGCCACCTTGGTTTCTTCTGAGGGTGGAGGGACAGTTCTTCCAGGCCTGCTTGACATGTAGATGGTCATCTTCTTCCCATGTCTCCTTACATTGTCTTCTCTCCATATGTATCTTTGTGTCCAGATTTACCCTCCATATAAGGACACTGGTCATATAATTAATAACCAACCCTAGTGACCTCATTTTATCTCCATTACCTCTGTATAGACCACATCTCCGAATAAGGCCATGTTTTAAGGTTCTGAGTGTTAGACTTTATCATATGAATTTTGGGAGGGTGCAATTCAACTTTCCTCTCCAGAGTCTGCTGTCATGTTCTTTTAGATTCTCAGGTGAGGCTTTCTCCAGTGAATTTCCTTCTTTGAAAGTGCCTTTTCTCCCTTGAATCCTTATATCCCCTGAAGCCTCATTGAGGACTGTTGCAATCAATCAGCCACAGATGCTGCGTGGGCAGCTGGGACATATCCTGAGCCATTTACATTGAAGGCAAAAGCTACCTTATTCACTCATTTCTTATGCAGCATTTTTCAATGAAAAGATATCGTGTGAATCTTAATTACATCAAAGTTATTCCTACAAGGGATGTTTATCACAAAGTAATAAGTAACATTAAAATTTTTTTAATATACTTTTTTTTTTCTTTTTTGGTGATGGGGATGGATCCCAGGGCTTCATGCACATTAAACCTGTATTCTACCACTGAAATATGTTTTTATCAGACTCATGGGGGAATGTGATGATTTCAGATATTTTCCCACCACAGCCCCATGTGGTAGGTTCTGATAGTAACTCCATTTTACACAGAAGGAAGCTGAGCCCCATTTGAGTTGCATAATTTAGCTACATGACCAGGTTGTCTGGCTTCACCGTTTCTCTATTATCCCAATTTCAGTGTTTCTGGGAAGAATTTTAATGAATACATAAAAGCTAATTTTTTCCTAGAGATTTGATAATATATCACACAGATTAACTACCTTTACCATTTCATTTACTTTTAGCATCTAAAGAGAGCAGCATGCTCTTTAATGGGAATCTGTGGTTTTTCTCCGGTGGGAAATTACATGTTTTAAAATACTTTCTACCTCACGTTCTAGTTATCAGATAATTAAAATTACCCTCACAACCTCCCTCTAGGCTAAGAAAGAAACTTGAAATGTAAATTTAAAGTTAAGTAAGTTCTTTTTACTAACTCTAAGAGGAACTCCTGCACCATTTCTGAAATCCTATTTATGCCCATATTCACACCCAAATAATTCAAACATCTTTCCTTGGATATTCATCATTATTGAGTATTTACCTTCAGGGATAGTAAATACTTGTGGTATTTACTTCCCTAAGGGAGTTCAGAATATTACCAATAACTTGCATTTAAGCCCTGAAAAGGTTTGAAAGGCAGAAATCATGAAACAGGACTTTGATCCTATAAGCAAATTAGCTTCAGGCCCATGTCACCAAAATAGATCATGAAAAATTTTATGTTTGGTTTGACTCCTTAGTATTATAATTACACATTTTTTAAAATTCACTTAGGATTGGAGTATATGACATAGCAACACTTGAAATTTGATTAGATTAAATATGCATATTTTTTTTAAAAGTGAGATATGTAAAGTCAAAGGAGCTTTTCAGTCTCATAACTTTGTAGAAAGCATATTAAGAAACATGGCAGAGGCATAAAGTCCCATCATAAGTACTAGCAGAGGACTTGGGCCATCGTATTCTTAAAGTGATGTGAAACCCGTTCTTTTCAGTGACTGCAACAGCAACAGGAACTCCATCGCCTCCTTCACCAGCATTTGCAGCAGCCAGTGCAGCTCCTATTTTCACAGTGACGAAATGGACTCGGGTTCGTTTGGCAAAGGCATTTGTGTTTTCTGATGTTGGTGTCATCGCAGATAACTTTAAAGGGATTAGTTTCTTTGATCCATGGGCCTAGTTACCTTTTATCAGTCATTCTCAGTGGTTGCATGTATTGCCTTCCAGTTTTATGTGCTGGATAAAGTTGTTGCGCCAGTCTCAATTACAGAGCGAGTGAATTAAAAAGAAATGAAAGAAGCAGGCTCCATTTTTATCTTATGTGTTTTATGGGCTTTCTACGGTAGTGTCAAGGATCATAAGTATAGAGGAAATGAGTTTTACTGAAAGCATGAGGCATTGTTGATTGGGGTGGACACGTGAGAAAGATTTTCAAAGAAGGATTTTCTTAAGACAGTAGGTGTTCCTGAGCAAGCCTTCCACGTGGGAGATGGAGAGAGGGATGGTGAGAAAAGCAGGGAGTGATCTAAGTAGCTTCAAAAGTCGTCTTTCTTGTGTATAAAGAAAAGAGAATTTTAATCCAGTGAAAATAAATCCTAATTCTTTGCTGTGCAGTTTGATTCAACCCTTCAGCCACTAGAAAAACAGACCCTTGGAAATACTCCTGAGCATGGGGCAGCCAGGGTCCTTTCTGTATGTCATTCTGCTCTCCCTTGTTTGGGGAGGAGCCGTGATCTGACATCTCAGGTGTTCTGAAAACTTTTGGAATTATATTTTTGCACATGACAAATAATGTGGAATAAGAGCTCGTATTTAATTATTTTTTTACTTTATTTAATGTGAAAATATTTCATGAAATGAATGACTTTTTTTTTTTTGACATCTAGGTGATGAACTTCCCCTAAGTGTTCGCATTTCTCGTGATAAACAGGACAAGATACATAGTTGCCTTGAGCATCTTTTCAGCCAGGTATGACAGGATGTTTTCAGTCTTTTTTCCACAGGAAAAAAACCTTCTCAGATGTTTGGAGGTAGAATGGAAAGGCCTCTGTTTGTTCCTCCTTTGCCCTCAATTTGAAAAGGGAATAAAGATTTCTTCAGCCAAAAGACTGTTGTGAATATCAAATATTTTACAGTCCTTGAAAACTTAAAAGTATTAAACACATAGAAGATAGCTTTTAGATTATTTGTGTTTTTTTTTTTTTTTTCTGTTTGTGTGGATGGGTTTTCAGAATACTTTGACCTTTCTTGCTACTCACTCAACACCATTCTTAATTTCAAAAGGTACAAGATTATCCTGGTTTTCATGTTGCTGTTTTGTATTAAAAAAATTATAATCATAATCAAAGTTTGTAGTGTAGAAGCTTCTACTACTTTGAAAAGGATTCCAATAACATTTAGTTTTTTAATAACTGCCGAAATTTCACTTTCTTTTGTAAATTTATTTTTTATATTAATGTGTGGTAAGAGAATAAGATGTTATTGGAATTGCTTTCCAATGAACAGGTGTTTATTACAATATTTTATTCAAAGACACATTTTGTAAGCATTGTGAGATTTCAAAAACAATTGTTTCTTTAAGGAAAACATATTTATTTATACAGGTATGGTGGTGCATGGCTGTAATCCTAGAATCTCTAGAGGCTGAGGCAGGAGGATCACAAGTTCAAAACTAGCCTCAGCACCTTAACAAGGCCCTAAGCAACTTATTGAGACGCTTTCTCTAAATAAAAATATTAAAAAGGTCTGGGGATGTGTCTCTGTGCCTCTGCTTTCAATCCCCAGTACCATGAAAAAAAAAAAATTTCAACAAGACTTATTCTTAGGAATATTTATTATGTCTTCAGACAAGCATGTAACTCTTGGAAATCTGCTATTGACAGGTGGATTCAATTACCAATCTCCTAAAAGGACAAGCTGTTGTGAGGGCCTTTGAGCAAACTAAGTATCTCACACCAGGTCGAGGATTACAAGGTAAGGTTTAAAAAATAAGTAGTACAAGAAATCTGGAAACAAAAGGTAATAGACAATATAGTCATGGAGGAAATACATTTTATAAGAAAAAAATGTGATTGCTTATGTTTCATTATTCAATGGATACTACCTCTATTTTGATAATTTTCAAATATGTTAACTATTAGTACAGTTTTTTTTTTTTTTATAGATCACTATGAACCTTTTAGGTTTCCTTGAAATTTTAATTTTAATACCAATAGTGGCCAGGGTAAACAAAAATGTATCAATTGAAGATACATAAGTATTAAGCTGCTTTTGCTGAATTCAAGATTGATGCCTACTTGGTCATTTCCTAGGGATGAGAAACTGGCCTGGGAATGTGAATTTGCAAATAGAGCAGCCAGGCAGAATAAGATATAGAGCTTCCACTCTCTGACATCTAGTTTAGGATGTATAAAGTAGAATTGTTTTCTAAATTTGCTTCTTTTTGAAACATTTGTAAGAAAATGACATTAAGGTTTGATTTTTTAAGATTTAACCAATTCTGCTGTAATTAAGCTAAAGAAATTACCATCTTGATATTATAGGATGAGAGTGATTAAAAAAACAACAACAACAACAACAAAAAAACTTTGAAGCCTGCAGGTTGCACTGTTTGGGACTTGGTTGAAAATTAAAAGAGATTTTCTGTATTTATTTAGAATTTCAACAGGAAATGGAACCAAAGCTGAGTTGTCCAAAAAGGTTAAGGCTTCACATCAAGCAAGATCCTTGGAATCTTCCCAGCAGCGTCCGGGCTCTTGCTCAGAACATCAGAAAATTTGTTGAAGGTCAGCATGAAGAGCAAAGAATGTTGCATGATATCATCAGTAATAACTTTAAAACCCATTAAAACCAAAAGTCCAGTAATGTCTCATCACTTTTCAGTGTTTCATATTGTGAGGAAAAATAAAAGGATTGAAATGGGTGAGGAAGAAGTGAGGAGAGGGAATAAGATTGCAGAATCTCATATTCCAGGGATCTTAAAATTATATAGGGTGTCATTGAAAATATTCTCAAAGAATAAAACAAGGCGTACTTAGGAAGATAAACTGGACATGGAGAGATCATTTTTCTAAGGGATCACAAAAGGCATGAAGCTAAATTTTATGGAGAGTCAAAAAATTTGAATGTGAATCTGTGTGAGAATCAAATAGGTTGACATAGTTTTTATCATCAGTTTTAAAGTTTCTTTTTCAGAAGTGTTAGTCTCAGTTATTGTCATTGGCTACCGTGATATTACTTACACAACATCCTCTAATTTGTACAACCTATAAATTGGAGAGATAAAACATGGAGAATACTACACTGAGTCTGATTGTATATAGTTTGGGGCCAGAGTAATTAAGTAGACAATTCTGAGAGTTTCCGGTATAGTTATGATAGAAAACATAAAATAAGAAGTTTTTCATAATTTTAAGAACTTTATAATTTAACAGTTCTCTTCTCAGTGACTCGGCTAGTGACTAGCAATGTCTGGAGATACATTTGCTTGTCACAGTTGTGAGTGTGCTATTGGCACCTAGTGGGTGGGGCCAAGGGTGCTTCTCAACTTTCTGCAATGCCACAATGTCACAACCAAGAATTATTTGGCCCAAAATGTTGATAGAGCTGAGGCTGAGAAACATACAGTAAATATCATGCCTGTGTTTACATTTTTATTCCTCAGTCCTTTGTATGTCAATTGGGTGTGATAGATAATATTCAACAGGATTCCAGCATAATTTGGGGGGTATATTAGAAAGAGTTTTATTCTTTGCTGACAAAAGACAGTTCCTAGTGTCTGATGAAGCCTGAGCCTGCCACTCAACTCCTTTATGCCTCAGCTTTCTCATTTATTAACTGACAGAGATGGTTTAAGTATTCTGTGATTACTAAGTCTTCTGCATAGAAATATACTCAAATGTAGCAGTTTATATAATGTTTAAGATTGGAAAATTTTGTATAGCTATGGAAAAATTTTGCAAATAAATCATAACAGTTCTATTGTGGGATGAAATATTTTGTTCGTGACAGCTGGATTTATTAGCCATATTTTTATTTTATGACTTCATATTACAGTTACCTGGGATATTTTTTGGTATCATGTTTAAGCAAAAAGTCTGAATTAAAAAACCCCCAAACTAATGAATAGCAAAATTGATGAATGCGTTTATTTTTTATAACACATCATTTTAATTATAAAATAGGCATAACATTAATTTACCATTTGAAACTTTGTGTGTGTGTGTGTGTGTGTTTATAGTTCAGTTGCTTTAAGTACATTCTTATTGTCATACAAGCATTATAACCCTCCATCTCCAGAGCTTTTTAGATTTCTCAGACTGAAATTCTGTACTTATTAAGCAATAGCTTCCTGTTCCTTTTTCCCTTAAGCCCTGGCAACCACTATTCAATTTTCTGTATCTTTGAGTTTGACTCCTTTGAATTTGGTTCCTCATGTAAGAGGAATCCCAATATTTGTATTTTAATGTCTAGGTTATTTCATTTGGCATAATGACCTTAAGGCTTGTCTATTTTATAGCAAGTGTCAGAATTTCATTTCTTTTTAAGACTCATATTACATTTTATGTGCACACCATGTTTTTCTTATTCATTCATTCATTCATTGAGGGACAATTAGGTTGTTCCTACTTTTTGACAGCTGTGAATAATGATGCTGTGAACTTTGGTATACAAATACCTATTTAAGTCTCTGCTTTCAATTCTTTTGTATATATGCCCAGAAGTGGAATTGCTGGATCTTACAGTTCTATGTTTAATTTCTTGAGGAAATGTCATACTGTTTTCCAAAATGGCTCCACCATTGACACATTTTTTTTAACGTGTTCTTTTTAGATATACGTGAGGGTAGGGTGTATTTTGACATATTGTACATACATGGAGTATAACATATTCTAATTAGGATCCCATTCTTGTAATTGTACATGATGTGGAGTTTCACTGGTTATATATTCATACATATATGTCCGATTCATACTGTCTTTCCTGTTCCCAAACCTCTCCCTACTCTTCATTCCCCTTTGTCTAATCCAATGAACTTCTAATCTTCCTCTCCCTACCTTCCCTTGTTGTGGGTTGATGAATACATTTTTAAAAAGACATTGAATGTAGGGAATTTAAGCATATACTTAACTGAGAAAAAGCATATTTTTCTCTGAGTAGATGCCACTATCATAATACTCCCAGGAATTGTAAATCTGCAGTTCTCATCATCCTTGAGTGTTTCTTGTTGATGAACAAAAGAAATTGATTTAATTATATTTATTTTTAGAATAAAATGCATTTATCTATTAGAAATGGAGAAATTCTTAAAACGTCTTCGTTGTTTTTGAAGAAATTTAGATATAGACTTCTAATGTGGGATAAAAACTTAATTTTTAAAAAGATATTCATCTAAGAATCCTGCATTTTCATCTCAAGCCCTGCTTTTAGACTCTGTACCTTGAGTCACAGTGGGCAGCCATAGAAATAACAACTCTACATGTATACTTTGATTGACTGACCAGTTGATATACTGGTACCTCTTTTGGTCATGGGAGCCCAGTAGCTGGTTGAGCATGGCTGAGTGTATTGAGAACTCTTAGTCAGTGGTGGGAGGAGGGCTCTCTGCAAAATTTATCATAATGCCACATGGCCAGAATTTTGTGGTTTATGTATGTGGATGAGATGACCCCATCTCTGATGTTTCCTTGTCTCTAATTTCAAAATATCTTATCAAATGTATGCCATATAGGATATCAAAATATCACCATTCTATGATCTTTACATAGGGAGGATTGTTACAATGCCATTCAAAAGTTATATTGTGTCACATGGTGGCTCATACCTGTAATCCCAGCTACTTGGAGACAGACACAGGAGGATCACAAGTCCAAAGCCAGCCTGGGCAGGTTTGAGACCAGTCTTGATAATTTAATGAAACCCTGTTTCAAAATTAAGAATAAAAAGAGCTGGTGATGTAGCTCAGTGACCAGGTACCCCGAATTTAATACCCAGTACCTCCCCTCTCTCTCTCTCTCACACACACACACACACACACACACACACACACACACACATTGTATCCTTATACTCTCATCTACTCATAACTTTCTAAATTGAAGAAAGAAGAGAGTAGGGAAGTTAGGGGACTCAGTGGGAGACTGGTTAATTGCAAGGTGTAACTATGACAGTGCCTACCTCCTGCTTAGTCCCTGAGCTAAATTCTCATCTCATAGTTTCAGCTGAATGAAGATGTGTTTCCTTGAGTAACACAGCATCCCCTTAAATTCAAATGTTTATTAGTCAAAACATTTCTAGTTCTGCCACCTATGAAAATTGTACTCCTTTCAAAATCTGTGTCTTTTTTTAAGCAACCCACTTTTTCATTTTTTCCTGTATTTGTCCCAATGTCCCAAAGTATGGCTCTTACTTTTCCTCTTTTTTATCATGTCCCAGTAACGGTGATGGTTTTCTGGCTAATCTTTCTTTTTCTATCTTAGCTGATTCATATATACCATTACTGAGTTCATCTTCTTAAAACACCTTATTTTTTTATTTCAGTGCTCTGCTCCACAGCCTTGTAGTGTTATCTGTTACATAAATCCAAATTTCTCAGTCTGATTTGAGAAATGATTTTTCAGTGGGACTTTCTAATTTCTCAATCTCAGTCATTTAATACATAATAAAACCTTTCTCTTCTGGATTGTTAAATATTAGTTACTCATTCTGTATTAGATTCCTTTGCTAGCAGTATTTTACACTCTTAGCATATGTATCTATTCCCCTGACAGTATGATTTTAAATTTTTGACAAAATATTTTCTAGTCTTAGAATTCTAACCAAGCCTCAGCCAGGTTTAGATTAGAACAATAATAATCTTATCACACATACAGAATGTTAAACAATTTTCAAAGACTTAATATATATTCCCACTCAGTTTTTCCTACACTGGGCTGTAAAATTGATAAAGTACATGTTGTTATCATTTATGAATGAGCTAGTTGAGACTTAAAGTAATTTAGCAATTTTCTAAAGCTACAAAGCTAGCACATAACAACTCGGCTTTCTGACTCTTAGTTCAACGTACTTGCCTGCCTCCTTGTTTTTGCAGTCTTATAGAAATAGCTTGCAGTCTCTTAAAAGTGCTTGCCCTTTGAAATATTTGACACATTGCTGACCATTTAATTCTGTTTCTGACTCTACTGTGAACCTGTTTAGAATAGGATGCAAATTAACTTTTTTTGGGTAACTTTGTAAGTTTTTTAATTTACCAATTACAAGTGATCTGGTTGCCAGTTGGAAGCAAATAGTAATACATATCTCATTGGACCTATAGCAATGGGTATGAAGTTTAATACACATTTATCAAATATCTGTGACTTGCCTTGTGTAGGGTGGGGTGGAAAGAAGTGTGTGTATGTGTGTGTGTGTGTGTGTGTGTGTGTATTTTTTAAGTAATAGTAGCAAAAATTTGTTTTGACTGTTTATTGATACAGACCACAATAGCTATAGGAGATTAGAGTACTCCTTGCATGCTATCACAGCTAAGGGTGAGTTAAAAGCTGTCAGAATGTAATGTTTCATTGAGTAACATAATTCATAACTGGAAGACATGGTAGGGTGTAAGTAGTGGATAGTATTTATATAGGCAAATATAACGTGTCAGGTAAATGAGATTTTTATTACCTAATTAAAAAATATATATATATACACACACTATTTTATATATATATATATATATATATATATATATATATAAAATACGTTCATGCTAAGTTTTACTCACAGTTAAAATGTGATGTTTGTGACTGAAAAAGAGAACAATTAACTGAACTGTTGTTTTGTTTTTTTTTTCCCTTTCTCTGCAGAGGTAAAGTGTAGGATACTCCTGTCTCTTCTTGAATACACAGGTAATATTTTGCATTTAAAAAATATTTTTAGTTGTAGATGGACACAATACCTTTATTTTATTTTATTTTATTTTATTTATTTACGGGTGCTGAATATTGAATGCAATGCCTTATGTGTGCCAGGCAAGCGCTCTACTACTGAGCTATAACCCCAAGCCTCTGCATTATTTTTTGAAGCAACTGATTCCAGGATTTTAGAAGTCTTATAATAGGAAGGCAGTGACTTCCAGTGGTTTAAAGACAGTTGAAAATATTATCCCTACCTTCTTTTAAACTTTGGAAAGATTGAAAAAATGGATACTAACATAGTTTCAATAAAAACACAAAGTATATGCTTATTTTTGATGACTGGTAATAACATGAAATGTACATCAATATCTAAACAGTGTCATTGAAAAGGAGGAAGGGAACAGTTTTTGGTAAAGCTGTGCAATTAGTTGTAGGTTAAAAGATATTAGCAATGAGAAATGATACTAAGGACAACTAAGTATTTGATCAAACTCTAAAATACAGGCAATAAGCTGCTAGCCTTATGCAGGCAGGCACTGTGTCTATTTTCATCATCAACAAATGCTTAAAATAAGAACTGGCATGTAGTGTTCAATAAATATGTCTGCAAGACTATGATTTGAATTAAAAAGGGAAATTTTATGAAAATATTTCTGCAAGGTTTTTATTCAAGATGCATTAAAAAGGATGTGGATCCAGAAGATCAGGAAAACTCAGACATCTTTTTTTCTGTAAATATAAAGGCATATACATGTGTTGATTGACTTATTTTTTGTTATTTTAATCTCTTCCTTATCAAGTATGTGTATATAAATATACAAACAAGTATTATTACAGTAACTTTAGATTCAGCAAGGAATTTGCACCTAAAAATGCAAGCTGAATAATTATCTGTCCCATCAATTAGTTGTTTTTTTTTAATAAAACAGTATAAATTTTGTGGCTTAATAACTGTTTATCATTGCTCCAGTGTCTAGTGTCACCTGAGGTGTTCTGGTGATCCCTGCCAGGTTTTGTTGAGGTGGTTAGGTTTGTTCATGTGTCTGCAGCCAGGAGGAAATTGGCTGGGCACAGATTATCTTGGGTGACCTTACTTACCCATGTCACAATTGGTTGACTGCTAACTGGGATAACAGGGCTGATGGTTGTGAGGGTCTTTAAAAGCACTATTTGGGAATTTTATTATTTTCACAGTTTTAAAGGTGAAGAATATTGACATTCAAGCAGGTTAATAATAACTAGTAATCATTTGACACATAAATTTGAGCATCATGACAATTAGGTAAATTAGGCCGTATTAAGTAAATGACTAGTATGGTCATCTATGAGACTAGCCTGGTCATTTCCATGTGGAGAATTTGCAGGGTTCCAAGAAGAGAGCAAAAGCACGCTAGAGTTCACTGTCTTCTGTTGGTCACATCACGTAACTGGCACCCCCCAGAGCTTCAGATGCAAGATGCAGGGGTGAAGATGGAGACTCTGCCTTTATTTTTTATTTTTTCCCCAGAGAGGGTCTTACTGTGGGTCCAGGCTCGCTTGCTGGCTTTCAACTCCTAGGCCCCAGTGATTCTCTAACTTTAGCTTCCTGAGTAACTGGGTCTGCAGATGAGCATGTGCTATTGATGGCAACAGTCACAAAACTGTATTGCAAGGGCCTGGATACAGAGAGGGGAAAAATTTGTGACCACTTTGACACTAAACCACATGTGGCAATTTTTAGTTACCAATGAATGAATTAGTCCAGTTAACCAAGAGGGCTTTTCTGTTGTTTGGTTGATTTTTGCTCTAATTAAACAAGATTTTGCCTTGCTTTGCTGACTACCAATAACGACAACATCAACAAAAATCTTACAGTTCTAAATTTTTACTAATAATACCACACATCATGGACCAAACTTTCACAGATTCTGCTGGGTCCTCACACAGCCACTATGTGAGAATGTTATTGTTTTCACAGTTTTAAAGGTAAAGAAACTGATATTCAGACATATGAATAATAACTAGTAAATGGCGTTCATTTGACTTATAATTTTGAGCATCAAGAGGATGAGGCAAAGTAGGCCTTAAAAAGTAAATGAATAAAATAGTTTTGAAAGTCATACTTAGTTTTGCCAGTTTCAGAAGTGAACCTGGAAAGCCTTCATTGTTTTGTTCATTAACATTCAGATGGCTGTTGCTTATTTTGATTTTTTTTCATACCTCCCATAACTCGTTTGCCTACTTAATTGTACTCTCTTTTCCCTCTTATACATAGGATGCCACCAAAACAGTAATCAAAATACTCCATATTTTTAGTTATTTCACTTGAAATAAGATGCATGGGTCCATTAAATACTTTCTTAACTTTTTTTTTAATTTTAGTTGTGGATGGACCTTTATTTCATTTATTTGGTTTTATATGTGGTGCTAAGAATCAAACCCAGTGCCTCACACATGCTAGGCAAGTGCTCTACCACTGAGCCACAACCCCAGCCCACTTTCTTAACTTTTTGTTCCTATCTTGCTCTTTCTTGTGTTCATTGTTGTTGTTGTTGTTGTTCTATTGTCTTTTCACTATGTTTCCCCTACAATCTCTTTTTCAGTGTAATATCTGAGATAATTGTGTGGATCTCTAGAAACCATCTCATTATTTTTTTTTAAATTTTTCATTGTTGGTTGTTCAAAACATTACAAATTTCTTGACATATCATATTCCTCACTTTGATTCAAGTGGGTTATGAACTCCCACCTTCACCCCATACACAGATTGCAGAATCACATCAGTTACACATCCATTGATTTACATATTGCCATACTAGTGTCTGTTGTGCTCCACTGCCTTTCCCATCCTCCACCCTCCCCCCTTCCCACCTCTCCCCTCCCCTCCCCTCTTCTCTCTCTACCCCCTCCACTGTATAACCCTGAGGGTCTCCTTCCATTTCCATGCAATTTCCCTTCTCTCTCCCTTTCCCTCCCACCTCTCATCCCTGTTTAATGTTAATCTTCTTCTCCTGCTCTTCGTCCCTACTCTGTTCTTAGTTACTCTCCTTATATCAAAGAAGACATTTGGCATTTGTTTTTTAGGGATTGGCTAGCTTCACTTAGCATAATCTGCTCTAATGCCATCCATTTCCCTGCAAATTCTATGATTTTGTCATTTTTTAATGCAGAGTAATACTCCATTGTGTATAAATGCCACATTTTTTTTATCCATTCGTCTATTGAAGGGCATCTAGGTTGGTTCCACAGTCTTGCTATTGTGAATTGTGCTGCTATGAACATCGATGTAGCAGTGTCCCTGTAGCATGCTCCTTTTAGGTCTTTAGGGAATAGACCAAGAAGGGGAATAGCTGGGTCAAATGGTGGCTCCATTCCCAGCTTTCCAAGAAATCTCCATACTGCTTTCCAAATTGGCTGCACCAATCTGCAGTCCCACCAGCAATGTACAAGTGTACCCTTTTCCCCACATCCTCGCCAGCACTTGTTGTTGTCTGGATTCATAATGGCTGCCAATCTTACTGGAGTGAGATGGTATCTTAGGGTGGTTTTGATTTGCATTTCTCTGACAGCTAGAGATGGTGAGCATTTTTTCATGTACTTGTTGATTGACTGTATGTCCACCTCTGAGAAGTGTCTGTTCAGGTCCTTGGCCCATTTGTTGATTGGGTTGTTTGTTCTCTTATTGTCTAATTTTTTGAGTTCTTTGTATACTCTGGATATTAGGGCTCCATCTGAAGTGTGAGGAGTAAAGATTTGTTCCCAGGGCGTAGGCTCCCTATTTACCTCTCTTATTGTTTCTTTTGCTGAGAAAAAACTTTTTAGTTTGAGTAAGTCCCATTTGTTGATTCTAGTTATTAACTTTTGTGCTATGGGTGTCCTATTGAGGAATTTGGAGCCCGACCCCACCGAATGTAGATCGTAGCCAACTTTTTCTTCTATCAGAAGGCGTGTCTCTGATTTGATATCAAGCTCCTTGATCCATTTTGAATTCACTTTTGTGCATGGCGAGAGAAAGGGATTCAGTTTCATTTTGTTGCATATGGATTTCCAGTTTTCCCAGCACCGTTTGTTGAAGATGCTATCCTTCCTCCATTGCATGCTTTTAGCCCCTTTATCAAATATAAGATAGTTGTAGTTTTGTGGATTGGTTTCTGTGTCCTCTATTCTGTACCATTGGTCCACCCGCCTGTTTTGGTACCAGTACCATGCTGTTTTTGTTACTATTGCTCTGTAGTATAGTTTGAAGTCTGGTATCGCTATACCGCCTGATTCACACTTCCTGCTTAGCATTGTTTTTGCTATTCTGGGTCTTTTATTTTTCCATATGAATTTCATGATTGCTTTCTCTATTCCTACAAGAAATGCTGTTGGGATTTTGATTGGCATTGCATTAAACCTATAGAGAACTTTTGGTAATATCGCCATTTTGATGATGTTAGTTCTGCCTATCCATGAACAGGGTATATTTTTCCATCTTCTAAGATCTTCTTCTATTTCTCTCTTTAGGGTTCTGTAGTTTTCATTGTATAAGTCTTTCACCTCTTTTGTTAGGTTGATTCCCAAGTATTTTATTTTTTTTGAAGATATTGTGAATGGAGTGGTTGTCCTCATTTCCATTTCAGAGGATTTGTCGCTGATATACAGGAATGCCTTTGATTTATGCGTGTTGATTTTATATCCTGCCACTTTGCTGAATTCATTTATTAGCTCTAATAGTTTCTTTGTAGAGCCTTTTGGGTCTGCTAGGTATAGAATCATATCATCTGCAAATAGTGATAATTTAAGTTCTTCTTTTCCTATTTTGATGCCTTTAATTTCTTTCGTCTGTCTAATTGCTCTGGCCAGTGTTTCGAGAACTATGTTGAAGAGAAGTGGAGAGAGAGGGCATCCCTGTCTTGTTCCAGATTTTAGAGGGAATGCCTTCAGTTTTTCTCCATTCAGAATGATGCTAGCCTGAGGCTTAGCATAGATTGCTTTTACAATATTGAGGTATGTTCCTGTTATCCCTAGTT